ATCCTTTGATATCCACTATGATAATTTCCTGCTTTGTTGATATAGCAAAAATTAGCTCCATCACAAACAACTAACCTCTGACTTCAGAAAAAGCTGACAGTGTCATTTTTAGAATAGCATGTATACTTTAAAGTTTAAAAACAACAAGGGCTATAGTGAAGAAGAAAGGAATGATACAGTTAATTAAACAGCTACCCTTCCCTTGATGATGGGACAGAAAGGAATTCCCTTAATATGCAGCAGGACAGGTTTCAGTGAAATAGTAAGAAATTACTACATTTTGTGAGGGGTTAGACTTACCAGAGGCTCTTACTGAGAGTTTAGAGAAAAAAAAAAATGAAAAAAGCTGTCTTTGGCAAAGGATTGGAAAATGGTTCACCACCTCATATCTTAATGGTTTTTTCAGTTTTAGGGCTCTATGATTTTTCTCAAAAAATCAATTAAACCATTCAAACAGGCAACCACATTTGTGAGGAAACATAGAACATCATTCAAAAAAAACAAACCTAACATTAAAAAGCAGAAAAGTAGACCCATAATGGATCACTAAATATAAATCCTTAACTTCTGAGAATGGTGTTGTAAAAGATCTTTCCTTCACCATCCCCTTATTGTAGGAAGAATGTTAGCCTACATGTACCATGCAGCTACCACACTGTAGCCAAAGCTATATCTTACAAAGGCCTAGAGGAGAAAAGAGGTAAAGGAAAAAGGGTAAAGGGAACTAAAATTTTTCCTCAACTATGTTACATTTAGAACCTGCCCTAGGCAAAATGGAGAATTTGTTCTGGACATATTCCCTACTGGCTGGTAAAGGTGTATCTCAAACTTTTAGGTACTAAGAGACCTCAAATCTAGTATTTCCTCTTCCTTGCACTAGTCAGGAAAAAAAGGGATCAGTTACATACGTGACATTTAAAGTGCTTTAAAAGTGCTTTAAGGATAGCAAAAGCTGTTATGTGTTGGCTATTCATGTTATTTTTTACTGTGTCATTTGTATTTACATATTAAATCTCTCTAATTCAGACTGAAAGGCTCTGTCATTATTAGTTCAAAATATCAGTGAGCAGATGTAGAAAAGTATTTTGGGAGATTCCTGTAATAAGACTTTGTAAGCAAACAACTACTCCTTAAGACTAGAATGCTTTTTCTAATAAGCAAGGCTAGGTGCTGAGGCAGCAATTAATTATCAACATTTCTCTGAATCCAAAGGAAGGTACACCTCTACATGGTCACCTGTGAAGAATTTTATATGGTTCATAAGTGCTCAAGGGTCTATTTATTGAACCCTAAAGTACGAGTTAATTAAATCAAAACTGGAGTACTAATGAGGAAGGGAAATCAGAAACAAACCAGAACTGAAATCACTAAGTGGGGGTAATTCCACTCAATTAGCCTGATCCTCAGATTATCCAGCCCTCTCCACCACGTTTTTTGTAGATTTAAAAGCTTTTTCAATTCTGCAATTTTTTAATTCCCTGCACAAAATGGAAACATAAATACTAAGATGGTCTCCTTGGTGAAAAGATAAAGGAAACTATAACTGTTAGGAGAAAAGGAAGATGAAAGCCATTTGACAAGACAGAGCCCTAATTGTATAGACTGTTTGTTTGTTTGGTTGTTTTGGTTTTGGTTTTCTGGATAACAGAAAAGTCGAATTTATTGAAATACCCTACAACAGAGCCGGCAGCCACACTCGAGATACTGTCTGCTCCTTGTCCAATTGTTTAAGTGTTTCAAAACTTTTAGAATAAAAGTACAAGGGTCAAGCAGGCATATGCCATACAGATTCAGAAAACTTGCTGAAGAAACAAGATCATGTTTTCCAGCTCCCTACCCTCCCAGTGATCTATCACCAGAACCTCACTCTTCTGACCACACCCTCTCTCTTAAAACAAACCGCTGAATCCCACTCCACCCCCACGCCCATTTTGCAAGGGGAGGGGGGTAAAGCCTGCAATGAAGAACTACCCAATACCAGTCAAGTTGGAGCCCATCCTTCAGAGGCCTTATTACTAGAGAGTTTTACTACACAGAACACCAGACTTAGAATGCTATTTCCTGTTTAGTCCTTCTTTCTTCAACAGGAAGATTTAAAGTCCCTACTGCAATAAAGAATCTTTGTATTTTCCCCCATTTCTCAACAATTCATTGCTCTTTTCTCCCATGAGCTTGCTAAAGTTCACAGTCAAATTTCAAATATAAAGAGGCCTGCAAGAAACACTCGTAATCCCACTCCTTAAATATCACTAAGACATCTGAGATATTGTTTAGATTGTGGACTCTTACTTTGACATGCCAGCATAGGTAGGTGGACAGGCAAGCACATCAGATGTCACTGTTTGGCAGCTGATAAAAGTCAGTAGTGCTATAATACTAAGCACAGAGCCACTGGATTAATCTGTGAGGGAAGAGGATGCCTCTTCCTTGCCTTCACTAGATGATTAAAACCAGCTGGCACTCTCTGGAACTACAGGTAAGTTCCTTCTTTATTTCTACTACAGTTTTGAGGTGTTTTTGTTTTTTGTCCAAATCAGAGCAGTTGGAACAAAGGTGATCTTCAGATAAAAAGATTGAAAGCAAAAAAAAAAAAAAAAAAAAAGTTGAAAGCTACAACATTGTAATAATAATGTACAAAGATCTGAAGAGAAAGCACCTATGCATTCTACTGAAACTAGAAGGCATTCTAAAAAGGATAGAGGGAAAGCTAGTTCTGTCTCATTTTTTTTAATCATTCTTTTTCCTTAAAAGGAACACTTGGTCTATTATTGTAGTGATGTCTTATGACTTCAAAATGTCCTTTATCAGTTTTTAGTACAAGTCTGTGCTATATTGGGAGATGGGGAAAAAATGTTGACTTTTTTAAATAGGAAACTAACAATATTTTATTTATAAAATCTTTGAAATTTACTTAATATTATTTGCAGCAAATTGTTATCATCATGGAATAGAATCTATTATAGAATTGAATTGCTGAACAGTAACTATTAATATGAAGAAAAGTCTCTTATAGTACCTGTGAATATTTCTATGAGTTTTACTGAGACATGAAAAAATGAAACTTCTAAAAGGATATCCTTAATTGAAATTTAAGAAATGTAGCAACAAAGTCATTTTCAAAAAATAAAAATAAATATAACAGTAATTGTTAACTGTGGAGACTGGTACCAAACTGCACAAGATAGTTAACATTCTACAAAATATATGCAAAGAAATATAGGGGCTCTTTCTGGAAAATACTGACTGGCTATTTGTTAAGCAGTTTATTCCTTGCTATTTGAAATGTATCTGAATAATTTTCCTGCCCAAAAGGGAATTTAGGAACCAAACTCTGTATATAATCCCACAATGGAATAAATAAACCCATAACTACAAAACTGCTTGTCTCGAAATAGAATCTTTTTTTTTTTTTGAGATCTAATTAAAGCCTCCTTGTGGATGTATTTTCCCCAGCAATTTAAAGACCTAATATAGTTCTTTAATGAAATGTACTCCAAATACATGACTTTTAAAGTGTTCTTTTTCAATAGAATCTTTCTTTTGGCTGTTTAGTTGCACTTCTGTTTCTCCTTAAAATGTCTAATTTTAATTCTAAACATTCTATTAACAATTTCAGGATGAAGTTGTTTGCCCTGGAAATTTTTCATTTAAAGTGACAATTAATTCAAGACAAGATTAAATAATTATAAGATTTTATTGCAATTGTGACAACTTGGTTAATTTTATCTGTTAAAAGTTTATCATGTTTTCAGTGTTCTTTTATAATATGTGAAACAAACTAAATCACCTTATATTTTAAAATCAGACAGAATCAGAACTCAACAATTTATATTTTCTATATATAGTAGACAATGCCTGTATATAGTCCTACTTAGATTTACCATACTAATGGAGAAAATCAGAGGCAAATATAATCCTTCAAACTGATTTTAGTGGCAAATGATTCAAAAGAAAAACAGAGACCTGCAGGAAGTAAGGAGCGCTAAACAGAACTAAGTAAGTGAAATGTACCCATCTTTTCTTGGTGAGAGATAGGCTACCATTATAGTTTTGCCTTAATTCTTTTGTACTTGTCATTCACCATTTCAAAAGAAAAAAAAAGTGGAGTTAAAACTGTTTCAAACTTAGTCTGAAATACAGATCAACACATGAATTAATTGGTATATCAGAGGAGCCATTCACTGGTTTTGATGAACAATGGGAAGAACCTGGACTGAATTAAAACTGATATTTTATGCAGTTTGTCCTCAACATAATGCTGTTTCATCACATTGCTGATGAGAAAAAAAAGAAATCCTAAGTGAAGTTCAATGAAATGACATTATTCAAGGACCTGATTTTCTTCAATCCTTTTGCTTAAGGCCTCCAAATACCCATCAGTGATGTTAAGTGAGGATTTACTGTATATTTAACTGCTATTAATTTTAAATCATTGAATCTCTGTGGTCAATGAACCTGGGGCCTCTGGCAAGTTGTTCACAAAACCATAAATATCCATACTAAACAACATCATAGAATTTCCTTTCATGTATAACCACTTGGCAAATTCAAAACTTTATGTTCCTATATCTTGAAGGCCCTGAGCATGCTTTAAGAATCACCCTGAGGCAAATACCAATGACTTCTTTTTTCTTTTGCTCAAGAGAAAAGTAATTTATGCAAAGACAGGAATAAAGGAAAACTCTATAAGCAGGAAAGTTCTAGCTTGAGGCGACCTTAAAAGCACATAATCCCAAAAACTAAAAGAAGCTCCTAAAGATATTAAATAAGTATATTGGCTTCTATGAAATATTATAACCAAGTTATTTTCTCTTTTTGAAGGAACTATATTCAAGAGAAGGCCACTCCATCAAATCCAGGAGCACAGTATTCCCAGGATCTCAACCAGGAGGAGCAGATCAAGGTTGCTTCTGATTCCTTGCAACCTTCTGTAATTCCAGGCTTGCAGCCTCAAAATCAGAATCCCACCCCTCCAGGAGCAAATCACTATAGTAATAAATTGCCTTCACCTTCTGTATACCAGCTAAGTATGTTTAACTACGAACGTCCAAAACACTTCATCCAATCCCAAAATCCATGCAGCTCCAGACTGCAACCTCCTGGACCGGAAACCGCCAGCTTCTCTAGCCAGACCAAACAGTCTTCCATTATGATCCAGCCCCGCCAATGCACAGAGCAAACATTTTCTGCCTCTTCAACAATGAGCTCTCACATCACCATGTCCTCCTCTGGTTTCCCTGCCTCTCCCCAGCAGTTTGCTGGCTCCAACCCTGGCCAAAGGGTTACGGCTACCTATACCCAATCCCCAGCCAGCTTCCTCAGCTCCATATTACCATCACAGCCTGATTACAGTAGCAGCAAAATCCCATCCACTATGGACTCCAAGTAAGTGCATTTTTAATATACATTTATATATGGATATATATACTGCATATTCAGTGAACTTATATCTGAGGAGTGTGGGGGATATTTTGTACTTCATTCTCCACTATCTAATATGTTATTGAGATCTCATTCTATAGTTATCCTAGAACACCTTGAACCAGGTACTGGCAATAAGAAGTCATCGGACACACTGTCCAGTATCCTTGGGAAGCTGAACTAAAATCACCTGTTACCCTATATAATTACTTACCTATTATTTTTCATTTTCAAAACATTATTTCTAACATACACAAGAGCAGTGAACTACTACCTCAGAGCTGAGCAAAGATCCTCATACTATAAATTTAATTGCTCTGGTCCTGGGCTCAGCTGAGATGAAGAACACCTGTCTGCTCTTTGTCAGATAGGATTTCCTCTCACATAAGCAGAGGCTATTAAGTTTCTTCTCAGTCTTTTCTTCCTATCCATTTAGTCCTCTGGTCCTGAATATCCACTTAACTAAAAAGGAAATCTGGAATTTAGACACTAAAATATATGAATTTTTTTATCACTAGGAACAGAAGAACGAAAGCTTGAATAGATAAAGGCTTATAACCCTAAGGTTTCCTTTGGTAATTAAAACCACATTTACCCTGATCTAAATACAGGAAGAATACCTGAAGCCTTATGCAAGCATGTACTATTTCCACAGCCCTAAAACTGTTCTAAGAGAACTTGATATGAAGAAGGACATAGTGGTAGTGCTTTTTATAAAACATGAACTGAATACTCTGTGCTTATGCAAACTTAGAGCTATCAGTTTTCCTACTCCTTGGCTGACTAGACCATCAGAGAATTAAACCAGAGGCATGTGAAAAATTTTCTGATGGCATAAGTTTTGTAGTAGGCTTATCAAAAGATTTGCTAAAAATCCCTGTTAATTTTTCTCAGTCTTCTCTAGAGGCTAATTTTTCTAGAGATTTCTAATTTTGGCGACAATGTTGGAAACCTAGCTGAATTGACCACAGCAATGCAACTTGTAAGGAAACCTCAGTATCTTTACAATTAAAAACCAAAGAAAGTCAAAAACATTTCTTAGAATCATATACTAGGTTGAGCCATTTAAAATGGCTGCTAGCCAACCTACAAAAATGTCATTTTTTATAGTTTGGACCCAGTGATTTTTAAAAGATACTGTCAAGAAATAAGAGCTTACTTTTCTTCCCTCCCAAATTCCCTTTATAACCATTATCACACATTGTAGACTTTTCTTGGTTACATTTTACCTGTATGATCATTTTCCATCTAGCTTCTAATTATTTTCAAATGTCCCACAAAGGTGTTTTAAAACACAAAATAATCTTTTCTGACAATAATATTTTTCTTAGTAGTCTTTCAATCCTATTTCAAATCCCTGACTAGAAAAAAAAAGCCACCAAGCAGATATTACCGAGCTTCAACCATGTACCCAGCTCTGTGCACAAAACTAAGAAGAGAGGACAAAAGGCAAAAATGGAGAGGATAAGGCCCCAAACCAGAGATCAAAGGTCCAACTTTAGCTGTTCCATTTTCAGCAACCACAGATAACTCTTTTAATCTTCCCACCGCCACTTGACACCCATTCAGTGTCCAGCTGCACAGGGTAGAAAGCTCTGGCCCTTTGAACATTTGTGCACAACTCCCTCATTGTTGTGATGGGCTTAAATTTGCCCTATCTTCTAAAGTCTCTTGGATCTAACCTAGAGATCTTTGAAAGCTTTATTTAGCTTTTCATCAGCAGGAAGCCTTAAGCAAGTGTTTTATTCAGTTGATCAAGTCATAGACTGGAAATTGAAGCTAGCTCTCTAATTCTAAATTTTCCTTTCAAAAAAGCTTGCTGTGTGGGACATTCAGCAAGTTTACCTTAGCTTCTCAGTGATCTGTAACAAAATTAAGGATTTAGGTGATTAATGATAGAAAAAATAGACCTATAAAGCGGTATACAAGTATAATATTAGTTTATAAATGAGTAGATATCAAATCCTAACACTTAAGCCATCCAAAAGGTAATAGGTACATTAAATGAATAAAGTGAGTGAGGCTATATATATATATCAGACCTGGTTTTGATATTCCTTCAGGATTTCTCAAATATATTTCATTAAATTATGACAATCTGAAATTCACTTCAACAAATGTGTTAAAAAGATATATTATAAAGTGGTAGGCTTGCATTAAAAACAAAAACAAAAACCCAGTATGCTATCATACAGATGGAAAAATAGAAGATCTATGAGATCAAAGGAATTTTACTACTTTGATATGGGAATTCAGTATTTAAAAAAATCACTATTTATCTGAACAATTGATTGGCTATTTACTTAATTGAACAAGTCAAACCTTAGCTAAGGATTATTATAGACAATCCTGAAGACCTGAAATGTACATCATCAACTTTGAATACAATGAAAAATATTCAGTCAACTGATAATATCTTCTACACCCAGCCTTTGTGTTAATGGATGTAAATGGTGAATAATAAGATGCCTTTTTTTCTTCAGTATGTTTACAACCTAGTGATTACTAATCAAGCCCCCAAAGTCTTCAAAAACTAAAACTCTGGCTCTAGTCAGAGGAAATACATTTCCAATTAGCTTACAAGTTATTTTAATAATCCTTGAGAATATATAAACAAGAACATATCAGAGAGTAGACTACAACTGCTTCATTTGGATAACTGGAGAATACTTATTAGGAAAATGGTAAAATATTCATTAAGGGCAGTGTCCAGGTTTAAACAGATAGAAGTTAGCACCTATTGGGCTTTAAATGAAAAAACTACGGTGAAATCTGTACAAGACACTGTGAAAAGTATAAGCCACCTAGCAGATCTAAAAATACAGGACTCCCTAAATACCATTCCTGTTCTCTGTTAGAAATAACAGGGAAGTTCTGGGAAGGGCAAGTATATCTTAGATGGAAATTGGAAATAAGTATTTAAACCAAACTCTTCAACTGTTATTCAAATTTACTTTCCTTTCTTCAAACCCCTTTTTCAGCTTACATTTCTTTCTCCTCGTTCCTCAAATCATACCATTCTTTCACTAAAAACCCCTTTAACAATGTTGAAGGTGTCATTACATAAAAGCTATTTGTTATTTATTATACAGTATATTACTTGGTATTATCTAGAATACAAAATTTTAATAGGAAAGCCAGTGACTTTGTAAACTGTAGACTCCATTCAAAGCAATAGAGTATTCACTAAATACCAGCGGTTATGTTGGTAAATATTTAACAGTGAGGTCTGGGGAAGGAGCCATGATCTGTGGTAGTTACCAATTCCTTGTGGTAAGATACTCCCATCAATAGTAATTCAAACTACAAATATGAGATCACAGATTGCTGGGACAAGATGCTAAAAATCAGTTCTCTCAAGCCTACATGAATCACATCTTTAGGGAAGATCTTCAAGGAAGGACACCCTCCTGATGTTCAGTCTAACTTATAAAGAAGAAAAAAAGCTAGCAACTAACATACAAAATACTTCTTGACTGTTATTAGGGCCACTGGTGTTTTTAATAACACTAGTAAATGACATTAGGTTCAACCTATTTGATAAAATGAGGCCAATTCTATTTTAGATACATTTTAAAGATTTTTTAAAATCTTTTTTCTTTAAAGCTATCAACATCCTTCAGTTGGTCAACCTATAAATGCTATGCCATCCCAAAGTACAAATGCTAAGCCCACACCAAGGACTCCTGACCATGAAATACAAGGATCAAAAGAAGCTCTGATTCAAGATTTGGAGAGAAAACTAAAATGCAAGGATAGCCTTCTTCATAATGGAAATCAAGTGAGCAAGATGTCTGTTTATACAGAAAGTCAATTTAGTAATAAAATCTAATCTCAACAAGAAAGCTCTCTGTCTCACAGGGCTATATTCACATAATCAGCAAGGGAAAGGATTATAAAAAAAGGGGGGGGACTATTTAGGCCCTATTCTATGTTTTTATGCATAAAATCACCTCTTGGTTTTCAGTAGTGAAAGCATGGAGCAAATGAAAAGTCGACCTGAACATTTTAATGACAATGTTCTGTTGCAGGCATACTCATAAAATATGCCTGATGACCAAATAACTAATGGGAAATACTGTCAACCAGTTTCTTCATGTATTTTGGTGCACATTATGGATAGACAGATAGTTGTAATTCTTATTATGTAAAACTCTTACTGTGCACATTATGTCACTCATTTTTGAAACAGTACTATATGTCTTTAAGCCAAATACATTTGATATACTAGTTATATTACTTTCAACCAGAATTAATAAGTCAAACATTCAGTGTTCATTTAATAAGAGTTATTTCTGAATGTGCGAACATTCAGTACTATATTCAAAGACAGCCAAATAGAACAGGCAGAACAAGGAGGAAAAGAAAGAATTTCCCTTTACTTGGGGGAGCCTAATTTTAAGTTTGATTATGCCTGCTATTTAAAAATAAAAAGAAAACAGAAGTGAATACTACAGAGAAGGGAAGTGTCACTAGAATGGATGGGAAATACTTAGAATGAAAGAGAAGCCTTTTGAAAACACTGCATTGTCTATAATTAAATAGATAGAACTATATACCTTTTTGGTATAATGCTTGGTGGTTTTAGGGAAAGCTATACAAACAACTTTAATTAAATCTCATTACTCTCTCCTTAATAACTTACTTCTTTAAAGCGAATGACATATGAGGAGAAGATGGCTCGCAGATTGCTAGGACCACAGACAGCAGCTGCAGTGTTTCAAGCTCAAGATGATGGTGAAGCACAAGACTCACCACAGGTAAATTAAAATAATCTTTTATCTAACTGGAGCACTTTTCTTTTGCATGATTTTTAAATGTCTGCTTTTCGAAATGCCTTTAAATATCACTTTGAAGCAAAAATCGATCACTTCCATGCTCCAATCATGTAAAAATTAGAATGTGTCAAAATTTAAAACATACAAATTTTAGATTTTATTCCATTTTCTGGTGGTTTTAATATCTGCATATGAAATGTCACAAAACCAAAACACCAGAAGGATAATAATGTCACTTTTCATGTGGATATTTAGGGGTTAGTTAGACTTAGGAATCTTACTACAATGTGTACACCTACAAGAGAATTTATGAGTTGTAAATCTTCACCAGGTTAGAAGTTAAAACTCTAAAACCAAAGGAATTATAAGCTTTCTGCATAAGCTGACTACCATTTCAGTGTTTGAAAATATAGCTGTGGTATTCATGAAACATCTAATTTCTTTTACTATGCTCCTATCTTCATAAATGAGTCTTGTTAAAAAAACAAAAACAAAAAACTATGAGGGGCCTCCCCGGTGGCGCAGCAGTTGAGCGCTGGGTTGCAAAGCTGCCCGCGGCCTCTGCGGCGCCTGTTCGATCCCCACCTGCTCCCCGGCCACCGGAGGAGGGTCCCACATGGCGCACAGACCTCTCCTGCCGCCTGCTGCTCCCCTCAGCAGTGTACTTCGGTCCTTCTGCCTGCTCTGCTCCCCGCTCTGGCTCTGGTGAATTCTCTCACCCTCCCGCGCTTCTGACTGTACCCAGTGCATGTATAAACAAAACAAACAAACAAACAAACAAATAAATAAAACATGCCTCTATTAAAAAAAAAAAAAAAAAAAACTATGAGTAATGGCTCTAAGAGTAACAAAAACATTCTTTTCCAAGAATGGATTAACTTTATGGAGAGCATAAAGACAACGTCCTAAAGGCATGTGCCTGACCAACTTGATTTTAACAAGCTAATTTAACCTGAAGAGAAAAGTACAATTGGAGCACATAATGACCTGTTCGTGCTCCCTGTTAGTGCTCTTTCGGTCTTCCTTCAACAGTAACTTCTTCCTTCCTTCCCAAAACGTCTATAAGAAACTGTGAGACAAAGGGATGAAAATGGGTTCTCAAGAATCCCAAATTTCTAAGTATAGGAAGCTGAGAAGAGATTTTTGTTTTTGTTATACAAAATTCATCCACTAAAAAGGATGAAGCAGGGTCTAACAATGCACAAGAAACAAGAAGAAACTAGAAGTTAAATCTCTTTCAGGCTACTGAACAATTTGTTCATTCAAGTAACTTTGTAGAACACATGTGGTGCGTTGGGCTCTGGATTTGGTATAGAAGATTACAGCAAGAATAAGACACAAATCCATCTCTATTAGAAATAACTCAAAGCAACATTATATTGATGATAGTTTACCTTATAAATTTACATTACATGAATTCAGGCCAATGATTTATCATTTTTCTCATTCATTCTTTAAAAACTTTAAATGAAGGTGATGGTACCAAGAAAAATATTAAAATATATCATTATGAAATCAGAAAAGTCTCTTTTTTGTATACTTCAAACATTCTACCTAAATAATACAAAATTCCATCAAACTATGTAAAACTGAAATATATCTATGAATATGAAGATATGCACATTATACTACCATTATAAGAAAAATCAAAAGCTTAATTTGGATATTTTGAATTAAATTGCATTGTTTTTGGTTTAAAATAAAAAGTTCATTTATTTGCTCACTCAATTGTTGATTTGACATTGTGCTCAGAGAACCTTAAAGCTAGCTAAAAATTGTTACAAAGTGGTAGGAATTCTATTTTAAAATGACAAAATACATTCAATATATCCACCCAAAATCAATTATTTGTACTCAAACTTTGTTGTGTTGCTATACAAATGTATTTTAAATTTTGGGGTAGGCACTATATTTTTCACTTATTTCTGTATTCCACTGTGCCAAGCATAGTGAAATACACTAAATAGGTACTAAATACTTAAATCTATTATAATTTTCACCAATTCCTGATTTTATTTTCAAATAGAAATAATTTCCTGGTGCCTAGATATGAATCCTAAAAGATATTTCCTTAAATTAAATATATTTTATTAAGCAGGGAGTAATTAATGTTGTTTTTCATCTTTTTATTGCTCTGCACATATCTTCCACGGTGTCCATCGGGCTATTGTGCCATGAACTAAAAAAAGAAGTATTTTCCAGTCTCTTCTGTGTTTACTGCTGTTGATGCCACTCTAGAGCACTAGGTACAATACCTTGTATCTACTGCCAACACAAGTGACTTCATGTCTATTCCTGGTTCACTAAAGGACAATCTGTACTGTGCTCCCATTTCAAATATACCAGAGCCATCATGCTAATTCTCATAAACCATACCTGTTGAATAATCCTAATAGTATAGGGGATTTCTTGCTAAAGTATTGTAAGATCAGTGCACATTATATTTTAAATGCTTAAAAAAAATATGTAGAGCAATGGCTGTAAAAATACAGCCAAAAGGGCCTCCCCGGTGGCGCAGTGGTTGAGCGCTGGGTTGCGAAGCTGCCCGCGGCCTCTGTAGCGCCGGTTCGATCCCCGGCTGCTCCCCGGCCACCAGAGGAGGGTCCCACATGGCGCGCAGACCTCTCCTGCCGCCCGCTGCTTCCCTCAGCAGTGTACTTCGGTCCTTCTGCCTGCTCTGCTCCCCGCTCTGGCTCTGGTGAATTCTCTCACCCTCCCGCGCTTCTGACTGTACCCAGTGCATGTATAAACAAAACAAACAAACAAACAAATAAATAAATAAATAAATAAAACATGCCTCTATAAAAAAAAAAAAAATACAGCCAAAATAGAAATGTTCCTTTCAACTACAAATACTTAATTCACTATCATTTTAAGCTTGCAACTATATGTTAACATTCTGTTTTCATTTCAAGCAGCACAACTCAGAACATGCACGACTGCAAGTTCCTACATCACAGATAAGGTAAAGTTTATTTTTTAATTTTAAAGAAACATATAGTTTGCTACCTAAATCATTTTCAGCTTGAAATATTTTGAAAGCCCTCAAGCTTCTTCTATGCCCTAATAAAAGACAATGACGTAATATATATATATATATAAATAAATTAAAAGGAAAAATCAATGTGCATTTTTGAATGTTCAAGATGATGATCAAAAATTTTATCTGTTGGGTTTCCCTGGAGGCATAGGGGTTAAGTCTCAGTGCTATTGCCACAATGGCCTAAGTTGGATACTAGCCAGGGAGCTAACCCACATATGACACAAGAGACCTCTCCTGTCTTGCCAGCCACTCCCCTCAGCAGTGTATTTCAGTAGATCTTTCTGATCTGCTCCCCACTCTGTCTCTGGTGACTCTTCTCACCCCCTGCACCTCTGGCTTACATCCCAGTTCTTGTATGCATAAATAAAATAAGTAAATCTTTAAAAAAAAATTTTATCTGTTAAGTAGCAGAACTATCTCAAAGGACATATTATTAAAATGATATGGTGGGCCTCCCCGGTGGCACAGCGGTTGAGCACTGGACTGCGAAGCTGCCCACAGCCTCTGCAGCACCGGTTCGATCACCAGCCACCGGCAAGGGTCCCACATGGTGCGCAGACCTCTCCTGCCGCACCCACTGCTCCCCTCAGCAGTATATTTCCTCAGTCTGTCTGTTCTGTTCCCCGCTCTGGCTCTGGTGAATTCTCTCACCCTCCTGCACTTCTGACTGTACCCAGTGCTTGTATAAATAAATAAATAAGTCTTAAAAATAAATAAATAGAATGATATGGTGAACTAAGTCAGAACCACGTTTCCACATTAAAGCAACTTTCTCATGACAATCTAAACCAAGTTTTAATTTTGCAGTCTTTGTACCTATTAAGAACTATCCAGGAGGTACTCTGCATTTTTTTTAAAGATTTATTTATTTATTTGTTTGTTTATTTATTTATTTATACAAGCACTGGGCACAGTCAGAAACGCGGGAAGGCGAGAGAATTCACCAGAGTCAGAGCAGGGAGCAGAGCAGGCAGAAGGACCGAAGTACACTGTCGAGGGGAGCAGCGGGCGGTAGGAGAGGTCTGCGCGCCATGTGGGACCCTCCTCCGGTGGCCGGGGAGCAGCCGGGGATTGAACCGGCGCTGCAGAGGCTGCGGGCAGCCCTGCAACCCAGTGCTCAACCGCTGCACCACCGGGGAGGCCCAGGTACTCTGCATTTTAATAGATAAGTTTCTTCATCAATCTGTGGCACTGAGAAAAAGAAAAAAAGATGTATAATTTGTACCAGATGTTTCTAAATTCCTACTATTTTCAACAGTCACGAATATGCCATAGCAAAATATAGACCTAAGTCATCTCCCATGTTATTACAATATCAGATCAAACAGTGGACTTTGAGGTCTCAAATTTGATGGTATTTGTGTAAAAGGAAAAGGAATGACCAATTTTCTGCAGAGTGATTGTTAAAATATTTTTTTCAGAAGTAGATCATCTTCTAGGGGAGATGTGAATGATCAGGATGCAATCCAGGAGAAATTTTATCCTCCTCGTTTCATTCAAGTGCCAGAAAACATGTCAATTGAAGAAGGAAGATTCTACAGAATGGACTTCAAAGTAAGATAAGTGCTAAACAAATATTGGAGGAAAATTAACAATGAAATACTAAGTTTTGTAAAAATGCCCCTTTTCATTACACACATTGAGAAGCAGTATATAGAATAGATAAGAACACAAATTCTGCAGCCACGCTTACCTGGATTTAAATCTGGCTCTGCCGCTTTCCTTCTGTGTAATCTTACACATGTCACTCTGTGCTATTGTCTCATGTATAATATGGTAATAACAAATACATCTACCTCATAACATTGCTAGAAGGATAAACTGAAAAAATAGGTATAAATACACATAATAGTGCCTACCATCTAAATACTAAATATAAATGAAGCTACCATAACAATAGGATTTCTAAAATAGAACGCCTCTTTAATTTTTCCCTATTAAGGAGTTCAAGTCAACCTGTTTTCTCTTGGCCTATATGAGTTCTGCAGACTGAACAGCTCTTTAGAAAATCATATATTATCTTCATTTTGTAGAACTTTATCTTGTAAAATGTTTTTCCAGATTTCTGATGATCAAAGTCAGTGTGTGGATTTAATTGGTAAGATTTATATTAAAACACTTAACAAACTGCCATTTATGCACTAGAACTACAGTTTTGAAAACTGCTTTTTTGAAAAGGTTTTTCATTAGATCGATAAGACTCACATATATAGGCCTCAGGGAGTTCAATTACAGTCACCATAGTCAGAAAAGCCATATGACCGCCATATTCCTTGTGGAGACCAACATAAATTAATGTTCTACACATAGTAATTAAGAAATCTTGGAAAACCTGAGGTCACCTATGAAAGAGTTTGGTGGGGTTTGAGATAGTCTGAAAATATTATATTAATTTTAAGGTTTTTCATTTCTACTGTTAAAAAATATTGAAAGCAGGGCCTCCCCGGTGGCGCAGCGGTTGAGCGCTGGGTTGCAAAGCTGCCCACAGCCTCTGCTGCGCCGGTTCGATCCCCGGCTGCTCCCACATGGTGCGCAGACCTCTCCTGCTGCTCGCTGCTCCCCTCAGCAGTGTACTTCGTACTTTCTACCTGCTCTGCTCCTAGCTCTGGCTCTGGTGAATTCTCTCACCCTCCCGCGCTTCTGACTGTACCCAGTGCTTGTATAAATTAAAATAAATAAATAAATAAAGCACAAATGTTTAAAAAAAAAAATATTGAAAGCAAAGACCTCTTAACGCGCTTGCTTTACATTTTCAGTCACAAATCTACTCAGATGCAGAAACTGTTAAAATTGATAAATGGACAGCTGGTTTACAATAATGCTGCAATTTAAAATTCTTTCATCTATTTATGTTTTTGTTTCTAGGTGAGTGGTCTGCCAGCTCCTGATGTATCATGGTACCTAAATGGAAGGCCAGTTCTACCAGATGAGTTACACAAAATGATAGTGTCTGAGAAGGGTTTTCATTCACTTATCTTTGAAGTGGTCAGCGTTTCAGATGCAGGAACTTATGCGTGTATTGCCAAGAATAGAGCAGGAGAAGCCACCTTTACTGTGCAACTGGATGTCCTGGGTAAGCCTTCAAGGAGACCGTGAAAACTCCTTGAAATCCAGTAGTATTTGAAAAGAAAGTATTTAAAAACAAAAGCCCAGAACACTTCATATTTAAGGATAGTATCTGTACAACCCAATAAAATGCCAATTTTTATCTAAAAGTCATGGGGGAGAAAGGAAGATGGGGAAGGAAAGGCAGATTTTTTGAGGGGAATACAATGAAACTAGAAAAACAGGTTTTTCTGGAAAGGAAATAAAGAAACAGTACAATTTTAGATATACCAAATAAGATAGTATAGTATAAAAGTATTTCTAGATGTCACTAAATGGGTCTTAAACTGAAGTTTATTTATTAGCATTTTTCTGGTCTACAGTTTAAAATAATCACATATAGCTTGAAATTAAACAATAAATGCAACTTTTAGTCTTAGTCTAATTTCTCTTCACTAAGAAACTTGTCTCAAATGACAGTAACACATACATGCCTCCTTGCTTTAGAAAACAGGTATAGCAAAACTCATCTTCTTATTAAACTTATGTCCTGATTTAAAATATTACAATTTAGGGCCTCCCCGGTGGCGCAGCGGTTGAGCGCTGGGTTGCGAAGCTGCCCGCAGCCTCTGCGGCGCCAGTTCGATCCCCGGCTGCTCCCGGGCCACTGGAGGAGGGTCCCACATGGCGCGCAGACCTCTCCTGCCGCCCGCTGCTCCCCTCAGCAGTGTACTTCGGTTCTTCTGCCTGCTCTGCTCCCCGCTCTGGCTCTGGTGGATTCGCTCACCCTCCCGCGCTTCTGACTGTACCCAGAGCTTGTATAAATAAATAAATAAATCTTTAAAAAAAAATTAGAATTTAAATGCTTTAAAAACATCACATTTGTAATGATATACCCCATAGTATGATGCATAAGAGAGATTTTGCTATATATTCACTAATCAAAGTAAAGGATGAACAATTTTCTTGAATTTTTGTCCTACAAAGATCAATGAAAAAATTTTAAGATTCTGTGATATGGTAAGACCTCACTTTATGGGAAAAACTAATGATCCGGAAATTTTTAAAAAATCAAGTAAATTCACTTTGGGAAAATCCTTTTTCTACCAACTATAATGTTGGTATAAATTACCACAATGTCAGAGAGCTGAAAAGGACCTTAGCAGGAAATCTGTCTAATCTGCTCATTTCTCCTTCAGAAAAGCTAGAGTGTAATTTGCTTTTTGCCCTCAGATATTTGAAGAAAAGTAAAAATATCATAATTACTGGCATTTGTATATTATTTGTTAGTTTACAAAGTGTTTCTTAATTATCTCAACTGATCTGTACAATAATTTTCTGTGGGGCCTCCCCTGGTGGCACAGTGGTTGAGCGCTGGGCTGCAAAGCTGCCTGCAGCCTCTGCAGAGCAGGTTCAAACCCCGGCTGCCGGTGAGGGTCCCACATGGCATGCAGACCTCTCCTGCCATGCCCGCTGCTCCCCTGAGCAGTGTATTTCATCGGTCTGCCTGTTCTAGTTCCTGCTCTGGCTCTGGTGAATTCTCTCACCCTCCCACGCTTCTGACTATACCCAGTGCTTGTATAAATAAATAAATAAATCTTTAAAATATATATATATATATATATAATAATTTTCTGTGGTAGGCACAGCAGTCCTGGTTACAATTTCATAGTGGCTAAAAGTGAACCTCAGAAAAATTAAATAAATTATTCCCAACTTAGCATGACTGGCAGGGACAAGAAAAGAATTTGAACCCAAATCTTTTGGGTTCTTTTTCTGCCATTCATGCTGCCTTCCTACACATGAGATAAATGAAAATATGACAAATTCATTGAATGAAACCGATTATAAATTCAATGCACTGTTACATTACTATTTTGGGACTCTAAATGGTATAATAATACAACAGTACTGTATATTATTAAAACTTAATTTAAAACATAAAGCTTCCAATCCTGTTCACAGTTTTTTAGAACTTTCATTTCAACATACAATTTCATAATGCTTTGTTCTGACTTAATATTTTTGTAACATTTCAAATACTTGAATTTTTATTACTATGTAGCAAAAGAACATAGAAGAGCACCAATGTTTATCTACAAACCACAAAGCAAAAAAGTTTTTGAAGGAGATACAGTGAAGCTAGAATGCCAAATCTCAGCTGTACCTCCACCAAAGCTTTTCTGGAAAAGAAATAATGAAATGGTACGATTCAACACTGATCGAATAAGGTAGGATGACTATTTTTATACTTCACTATAATTAATTTGGGTGAAAACAGTTATATTACAGTTTGAAATGCATTTTATTTTTTTTTATTTTTTTTTTTATAGAGGCATGTTTTTATTTATTTATTTATTTATTTTATTTGTTTGTTTGTTTTGTTTATACATGCACTGGGTACAGTCAGAAGCGCGGGAGGGTGAGAGAATTCACCAGAGCCAGAGCGGGGAGCAGAGCAGGCAGAAGGACGGAAGTACACTGCTGAGGGGAGCAGCGGGCAGCAGGAGAGGTCTGCGCACCATGTGGGATCCTCCTCCGGTGGCCAGGGAGCAGCCGGGGATCGAACCGGCGCCGCAGAGGCCGCGGGCAGCTTCGCAACCCAGCGCTCAACTGCTGCGCCACCGGGGAGGCCCTTGAAATGCATTTTAAATGATATACATTTGTGATCTCAAGTTGTCTAGATTTTAAAACAAATATAGTAATATAATAAGCCAGGGAGTTTGGCAAGATGGTTGCAGAGTAAGAGATGCTGATTTTGCCTCCTCCACATATCACAACCATACTACACCCAATAAGACAACAACCTCTAAAACATAAATGGATGGCTATCTCATATATCAAGAAAGACATCAGCACAGTAGGAAGGAGTAGGAAATAATACACAAGAAGAAAAGTAAATTAACAATTATTAAATTCATAATTTAAGAGAATAATTCCATTCACAATCACATCAAAAGAATCAAATACCAAGGGATTAACCTGACCAATAAGGTGAAAAACATATACAATGAAAACTATATGACTCCATAAGAAGATGAAAGGATATTCCATGCTCATGACCAGGGAATTAATGTTGTCAAAAGACTGGTTTACCAAAGCATCTCCCATTAAAATACCAATTATATTCTTCAAAAAAAAAAAACAAACACAATAGGAATGTGTTGGAATCACGAAAGCCTCAAATAACTAAAGCAATCCTGATAAAAAGAAGAGAAATAAAGGTATCAAAATGCTGACTTAAATTATAGTATGAAACAGTAGTAATAGGTAGTAATTAAAAATGGACACAGTGGGTCCTCCCCAGTGGCACAGCGGGTTGGGCACAGCGCTGTAAAGCTGTTCACAGCCTCTGCAGTGCAGTTCAATTCCAGCCAGCCAGGGAGAAACCCACATGGTGCAGCAGACCTCTCCTGTCTCACCAGCTGCTCCCCTCAGCAGTGTATTTTGGTCCATCTACCTGTTCTGCTCCCCGCTGTCTCTGGTGAATCCTCTCACCCTCCCATGCCTCTGGCCTGTACCCCAGTTCTTGTATAAAAATAAATCTTTAAAAAAAATTAAAATGGACACAGGGATCAGTGGAGCAAAATCAAAAGCTCAGAAATAAATCCACAGATATATCAATACTTAATTCTTGATAAAGGAGAGAATTATACAATGGGGAAAGGAGAGTCTCTTCAACAAATGACTCTGGGAAAACTGGATAACCACAAGTAAAAGAATGAAGCTAGATCGCCCTTTAACTCCATACACATAAATAAATTCAAAAATAAATGGATTAAAGACTTATAAGACCTGCAACAATAAAATATGTAGAAATAAACACTGGCAATATGCTTCACAACATCAATGACAAAGATGTTTTTGTAAACTTGACCCCTATGGCAAAGGAAATAAAAACGAAAATAAGCAATTGGGATTGCCTCAAATTATAAATCTTTCAAACAGCAAAAGATAATATAAGTAGATTAAAAAGACATCCTACCGAGGGGTAGAAAATTTTCATACATTACACAACCAACAAAGTTAATAATCAAGATATACAAAAAGCTTATTCAACTTAACAAAAATTTAAATAATCCAATTAATAAATGCACAAGAGATCCGGACAGATACGTGGAAAATTTTTCATCAGTTTGAGTAAGGCAGCTGCAGGGTAAAACCACAATGAGACATCATCTTAAACCCATGAGAATGGCACATATTTAAAAGACCCCCAACGAAAAATGCTGGAGAGGATACAAAGAAAGAGAACCCTATTACACTGTTTATGGTGGAGATGTTAACTGGTGTGTTCATTTTGGAAAGCAACCTTAATTAACCTTAAAAAAATAAAAGTGGACATACCATACAATCCAGCAATCCCACTCTTGGGTATCTGTCTGAAGAACATGAAACCTCAATTCAAAAAATTGAATCTTCTGCAATGGTTATTGCAACATTATTTAAAATAGTTAGGATATGGGAACAACCTAAATGTTCAGTGACAGAGGACTGGATTAGGAATCCATATATATCTATATAGATAGATAGATATAGATAGATAGATATAGATATAGATACAGATATAGATTGAAATATTATTATTCAGTTATAAGAAAAGACAAAGTATTTATGCTTACAGTAAAATTGGATTTTATTACAGTAAAATGGATATGTGAGGGAATTGTGCATAGTAAAGTAAGTCATAATGACAAACACAAATATCAGATGTTCTTATAGTGGACATTTTGACAAAACAAATAAAAAATTAGTGGCCACCAATAAACAAAGTGGGGTTCCCAGGCTAGGAGAAAGGATCAAAAAAAGGGAGGAAGGTGGGAGAATGTGGAGGCCATTTCTAGGTAATTACTGAGTGAACTGATTTATTCAGTCATGACTTAAAGCAATACAATTCACAGTACAGAATTTCTGTCATTATATGAGATTTAGAAGTTCTTTATCAGAAAATCAATAAAATCTTGCAGACTTGCAAAAAAAAATCTTTCTTGGATCAAAAATATTTTAAAAAAGTGGCAAGACTGAAAAAAAAAATCTCATTAAGCAAAAATCCACTAATCAGAACTTTAAGGGTTAAAGTAGGCTAGGATTTCCCTTTTTACTAATAATTTAAAAAGCTCACTCAAGAAAATAGGTGGTGTAAACTATATCAAAGGGGAAGAGGGATGTTTAATTTTTTCACAATTGCTATTTGGCATGACTTGGTATAGACTCAGAATTTCCAAATGCCTCTTAACTTTGTATCTGTCTGCCAGTAAGTCAGAAGCAAGACTTTCACAAGAAAATCCTTATACTTTCCTTTTTTAATTGTTTCATTTCAGCTTATATCATGATAATACTGGGAGAATTACCTTATTGATAAACGATGTAACCAAGAAAGATGCTGGGTGGTATACTGTCTCTGCCGTTAATGAAGCTGGAGTCATCTCATGTCATACAAGATTAGATGTTACAGGTATGTCACACTATCAACCCAGGTGTAGGAGACTTTACCAGAAGATTTAATAAGAAGCACAAATCCCAGCACTGAATAAAATCTGAAGGGCTTTCCACATACATCATCAGCTTTCATTTTTTTCCGTCTAATAATGAATACCTACTGCAACCCCTTTGTTTACAGTGGTTTTTCTTAAATGACTTTTATTTGATCTATTTCAGCCCGTCCAACCCAAAATGTCCCAGCTCCTAAGCAGTTACGTGTTCGACCAACTTTCAGCAAATATTTAGCACTTAATGGGAAAGGTTTGGATGTGAAACAAGCTTTTAATCCTGAAGGAGAATTTCAGCGTCTGGCAGCTCAATCTGGACTCTATGAAAGTGAAGAACTTTAATAATTTTACCAACATTGGAAAACACAGCAACTAAACTACTAGAAATATATTCAATTAAATTTTTGAAATAAATCAATAGCTGTATTAACAGATTATGACTTTAATTAGGTAATATAACTAATATATATTTATACTACTATTTATCCTCTGACTCTTACACACTCTACTTCTCTGGTTTGTGAAGCCTATAGAAAATTTGGATATATGGGTTTGTAACTGCAGAAGATGATCTTAAAATGTGGGATTTTAACATTTAAATCATACACACTTAACAATTACAGATTATACATTAATACCAACGCTTTTAAAACATCTAATGCTTGCTATAAGGTGTACTGGTACTGCCTTCTAAATAGTTTTACCAGATTCCTCTTATAGAATCACTAACATCGTACAGATTTTCTGAGTGCCACAGTTTTATGTCGCAAGAGAATAAAATTTCAAATATTTAAAACAGTGTCTCCTCTTCACAAAATTTTAAAATTTTCTAATAAAACTTTAGGGTTTAAGGGTGATAATATTTATACACTATACGACCGATAAGGGGCTGTTATCAAGATCTACAAACAGCTTACACAACTCAACAAAAACAAACAACCCAGTCAAAAAAAATGGTCACAAGAACTGAAAAGACACTTCTCCAAAGAAGAAATACAAATGGCCAACAGGCATGTGAAAAAATGTTCAATATCACTAATTATCAGGGAAATGCAAACCAAAACCGCAATGAGAGATAGCTCTTCACATCTGTGAGAATGGCCCATTTCAAAAAAAGTGCAAACAATGAATGCTGGCGAGGATGTGGAGAAAAAGGAATCCTCTTACACTGCTGGTGGGAATGCAAACTGGTCCAGCCACAATGGAAAGCTATGTGGAGAACCCTCAAAACACTAAAAATGGACCTACCTTATGATCCAGTAGATTTCACTAGTAGGAATCCACCCAAAGGACATAAAAGTACTAATTGGAAAGGAAACCTGCACTCCTATGTTTATAGCAGCACTATTTTAATAGCTAAGGTACGTAGTGCACAACACACACACAACGGAATACTACTCGGCAATCAAATAAGGCAAACTCATAATTTGCAGCAACATGGAGGGAGCTGGAAGGGTTTATGCTAAGCGAAATAAGTCAGAAGGAAAAAGAAAAATATCTAATGGTTTCACTTACATGTGGAGCAGTGAAAGACAAGAGTCAGGAAAAAGACAAAACTTGCAAGCTGACCATAGATTTGAGGGAAAAAAAAAGGCAGAGGGATCAAAAGCGAAGAGGGAAGAGCACAAGGAACCACAGTGACAGTCCACAGATGCTATGGGAGAACCACAGGGATTATACTTGAAGGGAGAATAATGATTTAAGAAAATAAATAAATTATAAAAGAAATAGAGACTTTTATGGAATCTCATGGAAAAATGTTTATTATAGAATGTTTCTATATAAAAAAATTTTAAATATAAAATCTCTGGATTTTATGTATTAACCAAAACCTATGAATAACAAGTTCCAAAACAGTAATGACATTATATTCTAGAACAGTGTGTGTTCTTGGTGAAACTGAGATGTCAATTCTTCCTGAAACTCAAGACTTTCCAGGGCTTGCATTCCAAAGGCAATCATAATAAAACAGACCAAAATGGAATCACTAACACAAAGTCTCAAACCAAGACTGAACTTAAAGGTTTGGTCTTTTGGAGAAAAGGTAATCTACCTGGGCCTCCCCGGTGGCGCAGCGGTTGAGCTGCGAAGCTGCTCGCGGCCTCTGCGGCGCCGGGTTGCGAAGCTGCTCGCGGCCTCTGCGGCGCCGGTTCGATCCCCGGCTGCTCCCCGGCCACCGGAGGAGGGTCCCACATGGCGCGCAGACCTCTCCTGCCGCCCGCTGCTCCCCTCAGCAGTGTACTTCGGTCCTTCTGCCTGCTCTGCTCCCGGCTCTGGCTCTGGTGAATTCTCTCACCCTCCTCACGCTTCTGACTGTACCCAGTGCTTGTATAAACAAAACAAACAAATAAATAAATAAAAACATGCCTCTATAAAAAAAAAAAAAAAAGAAAAGGTAATCTACCTGATAGAGCCCTGCCATCCCCTAAAGGAAAGTGATTTTTTCATAACCACTCTGCTTCAGCCTCCTTGTTTTCCCTACCATCTTCCTATAAAAAGACTTTCATATCGTACTGCTCCTCAGAACTCCTTTCTACCTGCTACCTCCTACCTGCTAGATGCTAACTCAGGAATCACTGCATGACATCAGTAAGACCTTCAAAATGTACTCAAATTGTTTTTTAGCAATAGTAACTCAAGTCATGACTGAATGTCTCCTGAAATTGTGATTTCATTTTAATCAAAACAAAACTTCAAAATCTTCATTCCTCAAAATGTTTGAGTCCAATGAGCTCACTGGAATAAGACTGCTTAATTTTTAGGTTTAAAGTAAATTTGAACGCTTATATTTCAGAATCATTCCCTCCTACATTTCAAGCTCAGGTATCCTATTGTATTAGAAAACATAATTTTGTAAGCATTTGCGAGTTGAGGGATAACGTGGTGGCAGGACAGGCCACTGAGCAGGTTTTCTACGATCTGAGCAGACCCGGTAAAGGAGAGTCCTGGAGCTCTATGTGGCTTTCTCAGGCTTTTATTGAGCTTTTACATGTAGTGCAGCAACCACTTACACAGCAGGCAGGGGTGGGGTATGGGGAGCGGCAGAAGGCCAGGAGGCAGGCAGGCTTCCAAGCCCCCAGCAAGTCTTCACTCTGGGCTTCTCTCTTCTGGCTTTCTCTCCTTCTCCTGCTTCTCTTCGCTAATACCTCAATACTGAGCCATGGCGCAGAGGTAATGAAGTAAACAACATAACTATAACTGTAACAAAATGCAAGTGCCCCATCAGGCAGGGCAATCCCAATGGTGGAGGGCAGAAAAGCCTGAAAATCATTTACCCTACAGATAGGAAAGGGCAAATCCTTTTATTGAACTATTCCTCAGCTAGGACAGTCATCCTTTCTTCTTTTTTTTTTAATAAGATTTATTTATTTATTTTATACAAGAACCAGGGTACAGGCCAGATGCAAGGGAGGGTGAGAGGATTCACCAGAGACAAAGCGGGAAACAGAACAGGCAGACTGAGGAAACACTCTGCCCGCCGGGATCCAGCCGGCACTGCAGAAGCTGCGGACAACTTCACAGCACGGGGCTCAACTGCCTGCACCACCAGGGGAGGCCCATCCTTTCTTCTTAAGCTTCTGAGCCATAAGTGGCTGGCCTTTTATCATTGGTAGTCTTTGACTCTCCCTGCTGTGTGGCCTCCTTTTGCTTTATAGCTGGACATAAAACAGCACTTACCAACCTCACTCTACATCTCTTTCCGGAAAATAACAAAAGTGGCTTTTTCTTTTTAAAACACCTTGATTTTCTTTGCTGGCGGCCCAGGGCCTTTAGACTGAATTCCGTTGCCCCCCTACCCCTATTTTCCAAGCAGCCCTCTGGTCTTACATCTGGTGGGCCTGGATGCCTTAATTTGTAGCCCAGTCTGTTCAACTTTACCAAGTTTACAAACCTTCTCATCCTTGCAAAGATTCTGCACCTGGTGTGAGTCTGGGCTCTCGGGAACTACTGCATTGGCCTACCGTTTTTTTACATAATAACTGCAGAGGTGGATTTTTTGTTGTTTTTGTAAATTGAGATAACATTAGGTTACAACATTGCACACGACTCCGGAATAGTCTCTCACCTCAGCAACTCTCACCTCACACCACACCCGCAAACAAAGGGCCAGTCACTACCCACCACCACTACCCACCACCCACAAATAGGCCCCTTCTACTGAACCCCCCGTCATTCCCCCCTTCTCCCCCTCTCCCACTTTCCTTATGGTAACCATGATTCCGTCAAGTCCCAGGGTTTGCTTTGTTTGCTTATATTCCACAAATGAGTGTATTCATACAGTGTATGTCTTTCTCTACGGACTTATTTCCTTAGCATAATCCACTGGATTTTTTTTTTTGAAAGATTTTTTTATTTATGCACACAAGAGCTGGGGTACAGGCCAAAAGTCTGTGTGTGCGTGTGAGAGGATTCACCAGAGTGGGGAGCACAACAGGCAGAATGACTGAAATACACTGCTGAGGGGAGCAGTGGGCCAGTCAGGAGAGGTCTGCTGCGCCACGTGGGTGGCTCCCTGGCTGGGAATCGAACTGGTGCTGCAGTGGCTGCGGACAGCTCCACAGGTTGTGTCTGTAAGGTCCACTCCCTCTCCTTTCTTTTCACCTCCTAGCTGCCACACCCTCTCCCTGCTGATCCTCTTCTCCCTCCCCTCAGGGAAGTGGGTGGGAACTGAAGGAAGAGTTAGAGTCCATGTTCCTTTCTCTGTCTGATCTCTCCCAATTTGTAAAGCGCATTGGCTCTTTCACAAACTATCCCACTACCTACACCTAAATTTCATTATCTTACCTTAGCTTATGACCTTACATGTCATAATTACATGTTATCTTCTCTTCCACCCTGACCTCTGACCTGTCCCCTAGCTGGTCTCCAACCGGCAGCGCCTAAACCTATAAACCTTCATAAGCTCAGAAAGATTACCCTGTCTTCCTCAAAAAACCCTCCTGACTTCCAAAGGCTGAGAATGGTCCTCAAACCCCTATCCAGAATCTGCTGAACATGGCCTTTACAGTATTTAACAACCGGGAGGAACAGGACAGGGCAGAGAGGGAACTCCGCAGTCGCCAGAAGGCTGAGCTTCAAGCTCAGGCCCCAGTAGCTGCCTTGAGACCGCCAGGCCCTGCTCCTCCAATGACCGCAGCGCCTGCTGCCCAACAGAGGACGACAATGGGCCCCATGGGCCCCAACCAACCGACCGCCGCCGAAGCCTGCTTCAAATGTGGCCAAGAAGGCCACTGGTCCAGACAATGCCCCAACCCCCGCCCTCCGCCAGGACCGTGCCTCATCTGCAACGTCCAGGGTCACTGGAAAAGTGACTGTCCCTCCACGCCTGGCTGTGGTGGGCCAGTCCTTCCAGTCCCTGCAACTCTTGCCACCGGCGGTCTGGGGTTTGGCGGCTGAGGACTGAAGAGGCCCAGACTTATCAACTCCGATAACCTTTGAGGAGCCCAGGGTAACGGTCAAGGTAGCAGGTAAGTACATCTCCTTTCTGGTTGACACGGGGTCTACCTTCTCTGTCCTCCCCTCCTATTCCGGTCAAGTTTATCCTTCTCAGGCCTCGGTTACGGGAGTTGACGGCCTTCCTTCTCGGCTCAGGGACCACCGGTCCACTCTTTCCTAGTCATGCCTTCTTTCCCCACACCACTCCTGGGTCGCGACCTCCTGACCAAACTCAGGGCTACTCTCTCATGGTTCCAACACCCTAGTGCTGCTCTCATCCTCCCACGACTCCAAACATCTCCTAATCCTTCTCAGGACTACCCACTGTCTCCTTCCACTGTCAACCCCATGTTCTGGAATATCTCTATCCTGTTTGTTGCCACCCATCGTACCCCAGTCCTCATTTGCCTTAAGAATCCCTCTTCTTTTCCCTCTCGCTCCCAGTTTCCAATTTCCCTCACTCATCGTCAAGGTCTCAAACCCATCATCCAACGACTCCTGGGAAAGGAACTCCTTACTCCTATCAACTCGCCCTGTAATACTCCCATTCTCCCTGTAAAAAAGCCTGATGGTTCTTATCGCCTAGTTCCAGACCTTCGCCTCATTAACAAAGTGGTGGTGCCTAGCCATCCCATAGTGCCAAACCCCTACACCGTTCTGTCTCATATACCGTCTTCTACCACACACTTCTCTGTGCTTAACCTCAAAGATGCCTTTTTTACCATCCCTCTGGATCCTCAATGTTACTTACTATTCGCTTTTACTTGGGAAAACCCGAACACACACCTCCCAGCAACTGGCCTGGACAGTCCTGCCTTAGGGTTCCTGGGACAGCCCTCATCTGTTTGGTCAGGCATGAGCTAGTGATCTCTCGGCATGTCATACTCCACCCCACACTCTCCTCCAGTATGTTGCTGATCTCCTCCTCTGCCATCCTTCTCTGCCGCTGTCTCAGCAACACACTGCACAACTCCTCAGCTTTCTGTGCTCCAAAGAATACTGTCTCCCCATCCAAAGCGCAACTCTCAGTTCCCACAGTTGTCTATCTGGGTCTTCAACTAACTCCTTCCTCCAAACAGCTGACAGTGGACCACAAACAGGCCATCCGGGACCTTCCCTCCCCTGAATCGGCAAAACAAATCCTTTCTTTCCTAGGTTTGGTTGGATTCTTCCGTCATGGGATCCCTAATTTTGCTTTCCCAGCCAAGCCACTGCACAATGCAGCAAAAGCCTCCCTGAAGGACCTCTCCAATCCCCCAAAGAGCCCGCAGGGTCACACATATCCTTCTTCAGGCACCTGTCCTTACCCTTCCTGATCCAGAAAAGCCTTTGCTCCTGTTCACAGACGAACGTCGGGGCACTGCGGCAGGCGGCCTTTCCCAGCCTCTTGGACCAGCCCTGCATCCTATCCCTTATCTCTCCAAGCAGATGGATCCCACCGTTAGGAGCTGGCAACCCTGCCTTAGAGCCCTGGCGGCGACAGCTCTACTCACCCGGGAATCCCTCAAACTTACTCTAAAAAGACCCACCCAAGTATATTCCTCGCACCGCCTTCAGGACCTCCTGTCTCGCCGCTCACTCTCCACTCTTACTCCTTCCTGCTTACAAAATTTCCGTATATTCTTTATCGAAAACCCTCTAGTGAGTCTCACTCAGTCTAATTCTCTCAACCCAGCCACTCTCCTGCCTGTCTCTGGTCCCCTTTCTGCCGCCCATTTCTGTCCTGAACTCCTGGAAGATACGCAAACTCTCCTTTGTCAGATGCCTCCTGTGTTTGTAGACTGGCAGCTCTTGTGAAGATGCACGCGGTCAGCGGAGGGCCACCTAGGCCACTGTTACCATCGATCAGCTCACCAAGTGCGTGGACACCTACCCAGACAGGATTGACCTCTCCCTACTCAGCCAACTGCTCTGGGAACACACAGACCGGTACTTACCCAGTCCTGCCTCGGATCTCGACCTCCTCAACCAACCTTCCCTACCACTGCATCCAGGAGACCAAGTCCTGCTCAAATCGCTTCAGTCAAAGCCACTGCAGCCTCGGTGGACCGGCCCACACACGGTTATTCTCACCACGCCTACAGCGGTAACACTTCTGGGACACCCCTCCTGGCACCATCTATCACGGGTCAAACGTGCCCCTGAAGACAAACAGTATGTATGTTATAACCTGGGTCCTACTAGGATGTGCATTTCTTGTCAAAATCTCCCCTAGCTCAGTGTCCTGGGTATGGAAATTCAAAGTTAGGGAGACCTTTGTCTCAGGATCCACTGAGACCACCCACTAGGTGGGTACTGCAGATGCCCACAGGCCAGATGCACAGCACCTATCACTCTCACCCTAACTCTTTCATCGATTAATAACCCTATAAATACCTTGTTTTGTTTCTTTACCATCAAACCTTAAATCACTGCAAAAATACCTATAGAAAATATGTGGGGTGCCCTTACCAGTCATGCACAGTGCACCTTCCAGACAAAGGCCAAATGTTCTCTCTGGTCTGTCATAATACGGGCTTCAATATGAATCAAGTTAGCTATGCTATTTCAGATCCTTGGGACCAACGTTGGGTACAGGTAGTCCAAGCCGCAGTGTGCACTGGCTGGCATTCCTATCCAGTGGCAACACTGACTCCAATCACAGCTACCCCTGCTATCAAACTGATGCCCTTGTCAGCTTTCATTCCTGTGCTTCTAACATTTCGGTTACTTCTGTACTCCGAACAACAGCAAAGGGAAACTTTTTCTGGTGCAATGGCTCTCTCTCTCAGTATATTAATTTTGCTACTCCAGGCCCACGTACTCTCTCGTGGTCCCACAGTTAACTCTGTACAGACGGTCTGAGTTAGGTTAGTTATTCTCACCACATTGGACTAAGCGGGCAGCCTTTCTTCCAATCATGGTTGGAATCAGCCTGGCATCATCGATAGCAGCTGCAAGTATGGCAGGTGGGGCCCTGGAACACAGCCTGATTTCTGCCCAGGAATTTTATAAAAAGATACCTCCTTAGAAAAAACCTGTGTGTCTTTAGCATCATTACACAGACAGCTCACCTCCCTGGCACAGGTCACTCTCCAAAACCGGCGGGCTCTGGACTTGTTAACAGCTAATAAAGGGGGTACCTGCTTGTTTCTCAGGAAATAATGTTACTATATCAACAAATCGGGCATTGTAGAACAAAATGTACAAGCCTTAATAAAAATACCCAAAGACATGGAATGAAAAACCGGGGACTCCAACTCTCCGCTGACATGGTTTCAAAATCCTATAGTGTTATGGCTCCTCCCACTCTTGGGGCCAATACTAATAATAACCTTATTTTTTCTTTTCGCTCCTTGCCTCCTAAAATTCATACAGGCTTGCATTCGGGAAATGTCTCCTACCACCTTTAACCAACTCCTTCTCCACCCATATTCTCGCATCCCTGCAGAAGACCCTCATAACCAGGCCTGAGCCACCCCCTTGGTCTTCGCCCCTTTTCAGCAGGAAGTAGCCAAAGAAAGAACCATCGCCCCTTTTCCTATCAACAAAAGGCTGGTATGTAAGGTCCAAGCAGCAGGCCGGAATGCAAAAGCCTACCCTGAAGCCCACCTGGGGGGCAGGAATGTGGATACCTGCCTGGAGGACTCAGACAATGAGCCTCCCCCCTCCCCCTACCAGTCTCGTCTCAGACAAAGAACCTCTACCCGCCCTACAAACTTTTCCCGCCATACGAGCCCAACTACCCACCTGACCTCTCCTCGCCCTATAAAACCCTGCTTCCCCCTAACAACGTCCGCGGCTTCACTGACCCCCACCTTGGGTCTATGAGGTCCTCCCTTTGAGAAATGTAGCCTGGCTCTCCTTTTCTTTACCGCGCCGAACCTTTCAGTGTCTGAACACCTTGTGCCGCCAGGGAAGCCCAACCTACTGGATTTTTAAATAATCTATTTTAACGTGTCCTTGGCCATATCGGATGGAAAGAAGAGAGGAAAGCCATTTCCAAGGACAACTCTCCATACAACAAATGTACTGTTAGGGGGAAAAGGATGTCCTAAAGCTAAATTCCATACAGGCTTTGTGGACTCCACCCCCACCCCAGGCCCAAGCCAAAGACACTGGGAACTCCAAATCCCATCACCACCAAAGGGAAGGTGGCTGGGACCTGAGGGTGGGGTTAAGCTGCCAGGTTGATATAAAGCCAGACACATGGGCTTGGGGCGGGGGGGGGGCATTTTGGCGGCCAGCTCGCAGTGTCCGGCCAGCTCTGAGAGTGCCTTTGGGTTTCCAGGTGGGCGGATCGGGTAGGACGCATTAAAGACTTTATTTCCCTATTTTCTCCCTGAGTTGTACATTTTCCTTCTTTCCTTTTCCCTTGTAAATAAACCTTTTCTTAACCTTGTGTGTGTGCCTGTAGTGGAGTATTCATAAGTCCCTTTTAAGCGCGCGGGTGAGGACCCACTTCCAGGCAACCCGTTCAATATTGGGGCTGTCCTATAACAGTACCACGAGCAGCAGCAGCAGCCAGGGCCTTACTTAGGCTTTCGGGCTTTGTAAAGGTTGCCGCCACAACACGTGGGCCCTGGTAAGTTACTTATCCTCTCAGCGCCTCAGCTTTTTCAGCCCTAAAATGAGGAAAGAACACCTACCTTTTAGGAAGGTGGGGTGTGCTGACTAAACAAGCCAGTGAATAGTATAGGTGTCAAGGAGGAGTAGCCCGTTCTAATTATTTACTCCATTTCTATGACTAACCCTGGGCCCAAAACCACGTTCCCTTCAGAAGGCGGCGCTGCACAGGAGGAAGAAACGCACAGCAGGCGTCCACCCGAGGCCAGGCAGGAGGTACTCGGCGCGCACGCGCACTTGCAACTTGTAGAGCCGCTCGCGCCGCTGGCGGAGCTGGGGGGGGGGGGTCGCGCAGGCGCGTGCGTAGCCCTGCGCCCGCGTGTCTATTGCGCAGGCGCCGCAGAGTTAGGGCGCTCAAGGCGGCTTAGTGCATTGGGTCGGCCATGGCTGAGGCCTCACGGTGGCACAGAGGGGGTGAGCGGTGCTCCTCGGGGGTGGGTGTGGCAGGGCCCGTTTGGCAAGTCCACATTCTTTGGAAGGAACTCTGTCCCCAGTTATTCATGAGCGAGAAATGGCCTCTAGCACGTTGAGTCTAAAACTAGAGACGTGAAGACGAGAACACTGAAGCCCAACGGAGACATGGCGCCCGCCGTTGCCTGGGTCTCGAGCTGGGTGGGGTCATTGGCTGTGCAGTGGCCGTTTCTGAAGTCTTTTTTTTTTTGACCTTAGGGAATCGTGACCTTGACAGAACCGCAGGGTGAATGCTTTTTTCCCCTCTCAGCTGAAGCCAGCCATCCCAAGAAGTAGTTTTGCTAGGTGGAGATAAAAATTAGGGATAGATGAGGGCTGTTGTTTTGTGTTTTTGCTTTTACCTTTTAAGACTGAGCTGGTGAGTTGTAAAATTCATCAGTTTACACATTCGTTCACTGATTGCTTAGTTCATTAGTTGCATCTAAAATAATTGCCCATTTTCCCTCATGGGATAATGTTAGTAATTATTCCTTCCTCATAAAAGTGAGAATAAATAACCAGGAACTACTGGAACTTGCCTTCACATAGTGTAACAGCTATAAGTAGCTTTCTCCGTCATTGTTGTTTATATACAATGTAAATTACATAATAATTTTGGGGGAAATTTGTTTTGTATCTCACAGGGACTCCGAATCTGCGTTACAGAAAGGAACTAGAGATTAGAACCACACCTCAGGAGTTGTTACTCTACTTAATTTTTTTAATAGACCTATGTATATGTAAGTACACATGTAGATGAAGATTCTGAACTTAAAAGTTATGTAGACATAAAAAAGAACGCATAGTCTTTATGATACCTTTGATTTTCAGACTACTAAACGTCTCAAATAGGGTCTTTTTGACATCTTAAATTCACTTCAAATTGTTAAGGGACCTTAAGGTCAAAGATGTTATGAGAATTTTGCGGGTTTTTGCGTGAAAGAACTGGGGTGTTCGGGAGGGAGGATGAGAGGATTCACCGGAGACAGGGTGGGGAGCTAAAAAAGGCAGAAATTGGGCCTCCCCGGTGGCGCAGCAGTTGAGCGCTGGGTTGCGAAGCCGCCCGCAGCCTCTGCAGCGCCGGTTCGATCCCCGGCTGCTCCCCAGCCACCGGAGGAGGGTACCACATGGCGCGCAGACCTCTCCTGCCGCCCGCTGCTCCCCTCAGCAGTGTACTTCGGTCCTTCTGCCTGCTCTGCTCCCTGCTCTGGCTCTGGTGAATTCTCTCACCCTCCCGCACTTCTGACTGTACCCAGTGCTTGTATAAATAAATAAATATATTAAAAAAAAAATAAAAAAGGCAGAATGACGAAATACAATGCTGAGGGGAGCAGCGGGCAGGCGGGAGAGGTCCCTAGTGGTGGAATTGAACTCAGGCTGTAGTGCTGATAGCACTGAGACTGAACTTGTGGGCCACCAGGGAGGCCCTGTAATGAGAGGTTTTCATAGTCAATAATGATTAGGCTAATTATTCCTTTCAGTTGGCAATTTATCTTGAGTGTAATATTCCCTTGACTTGGCAATTCTAACTGGATTTCTTCTACAAGCCAGGTAGACACATTTACTCAGGTCATAGGTTGAACTACAAATGAGGCCAAAGAAGTTAGTCTTGGTAGCCAAGTTGTTCTTTCCCAAAGTCTATTGTTAATAGTAAAATAGGCTATTGTTGAGTAACAGGTATTATGGATCAATGGAAATCTTTAAGGATGTCCAGGAAAACTTCTCACCCTACATTCTTCCTATCTGTAGGTCATAGCATTGACTTAATCTGTGAAGGGCAGTATTAAGAGCATTTTGTCTTTAGAGCACCCAACATGCAGTAGATGTAAGTTCACCAGACTAACGTCATAGTGGTACAACCCTACATGCTGGCGTTTGTGTATCAAATAATTAATTAGTGTTCTATCAATTGTACAGGGTAAGTTTCAGACAGATTTTGACTAAAAAGACAACTATAAGTTACCTTAGACAACTACAACTATAAGTTAAGGTATCTTAGTCTGATTTTTAAATGTTTATTACATATTATTTGGGGAATGGAAAAATAGGGAAAGAATATTCATAATCCCATTATTTGGGGATTTAAAAAAAACCACCTTTTCATAATTAGGAAGAATTCAAAATAGTTTAAATCTCCAATGACAGAGGATTTAAGATTTGTTTACATGTGGTGAAATAATATGCAGTATTAAAGAATGACATAGACTCATTTGTGCCATGGAATGTTGTTGAAGCTAAATGGTTTTTTAAAATTACAGAACTTCTGGTGAGGAAAAAGGGAGATGTAATCTATACCCTGCTCTCAAACCCACCCACTCTACCTGGAAAGAGAAAGTAAAGAAGAATACTAATTTTTTTTTTTTTAATTCTTACCATATGCCAAAACACGTTTTAAATGTTTCAAAGGTGTTATCTCATTTTTCATGACAAAACTGAAGTAGGAATAATGCAATGTTATTTCAATTTAGAACATTTTTCAAAAAATAGGCAAAACTGAAAGAAACTAGTACCAAAAGATCACATATGATTCAGTTCATTTGAAATAGTCAGGACAGATTAATCTATAGACAGAAGTAGATTAGTCATTGTCCAGGGTTGGGAGGAGATACAGGGTGATGATTGTATATCACATGTATGTGAATATACTAAAAACTATTTAATTGTAAATGAGTGAATTATATGGGATATGAATTATAGTTCAGTAAGACTAAAAAAACCTCTCAGTTTCCTATCTTATAGGAAATAATATCCCTATAATTGGGCAGACTCAGACCTACCTATTTGAATACAAAGTGCATAGCATAACTACTCATATACCACATTCTATTGCCTACTCTTACTATGGAGAAAAAGCCAACTTGCATGCTAATATAATGTCTTATTTTTGTAAAAATGGTTGTTTTCTTTATAAAGGTGTGTTCATATAGAAAAGTATGAAGAATATGTGCCAAATCTAAATCTAGCAGTGGGATTTCATGCTTTGTATATTTCTATTTTAGTTTTTTTAATCATTAGACAAAACGATGTTGAGCTTTTCAAAACAAAATTGGCAACAAATTGTAAGTTCATTTTTAATATTGACAACTGAGTTTTTAAGTAAATTTTAAAACAAAAATTCTTCTCATAGTGACCTTTGGGATGGTAAACCCACATATGTATTACTTAAACAAAGTTATGTCATCTCTATTTTTGGATACTTCTGTGCCCGGTGATGAAAGAACCAGCTTTAGAGCTATTCGCAGCATAACTGATTTTTGGAAGGTAAGGTATTATGTAATTGTGGCTGAAGTAGCTTTAAATATTGCACCAACCCTGGTCACATATAGTAAACACCTGACACATATTTGCTGAAGGAATGAGTAAAAATGAATAAAAATAAACTGTTGGAAGCAGCCAACCACCAAGTATTTGATAACTCGCATTCTCAATGTGATAGAGGTTGTGTAGCTATTAAAAAAGGAGTATCATTTCTTTTAAAGTATCATTGAGTTTGGAAAATAGAAGACCTGCTTCTTAGGTAACATGTTAGGATCCAAAATTAGTCTATAATTGTGTATAGTGAAAACTACTATTAATTCCTTAAATTCTCTTTAAAGTGTATCCTATATAGTTTTTGGTGTGCAATCCTGCACAGTGTGTTTCAGTAATTTACAATATATAATAAAGAGTACATATATAAAATTAATTTATACTACCCTTAACTTTACAAAGTCATTCCTTTAGCATTGGAACAGACTTGTTTTTTTTTCATTACCCTTAGCAAGATGTTCACATTATAAGAGCATTATATATATAACAGCATATATTAAGAGAACAGCAGTTTCAGACATTCCATTTTTACAATCATTGGTGCACACAAGGAAGTTTTTCCAGAGGTGATGACAATTCAGTTGTGTTTCAAAGGATGATTAATAGAAGGGCATTCTAGGAAGAATAGATAATACTGTATTGTCTATGTAAGTAATTCTATATATGGAGCTATATCTAGCATTATAGACATAAAAAGGCATATAAACATAAATGTGGAAAATGCCAAATTGAATTGGACAGAGATTAAAATCATGAATGTCATGCCAGGAATTTGAAACTTCTCAAGGATACAAGATCGCTTTCTGAGAGTGAGAGGATAAGTAAGATGAGGACTAATGGTAAGAGCTCATTGGTTTAGACCAGGTGCCAGGTGGAATATAAAAGAAAGATAGGAAATTTTCCCTGATCTAAGGAATAGAATCCACCTTGCCTTTTTTTTTGGGGGGGGCGGCGTTAAGGGGGTAGTGCTGTCTGAAAGTAGTGCATGGCCACTGGCACAGGGAAAGGCAGGGATCCCTTAGGAACAGATAGGGGCAGCAGGGATAGCAGCCACCACTGCCAGAACTGGGAAGAGGGGCACATAGCCACAAAGTTATAATTTGTGGCTATGACTAGCTCTGATAACTCATATATTGTGGTACAATATCCCTCATAGAAGGGGAGAAGAAGAGTTATGAAATTAAGTTAATATTTGTCAAGTGCTTAGAGCAGTGCCTAGTGCATAGTAAGTGCTCAATAAATGTTAACTGTCTTCATTATCAACATTGTTATCATTACTATTGTTATTAAGTGGTGGCTTGGTCAACAATTTTCATACTTACCCTCAAAAATCTTAGAGATAACATTATGGATTCTTCTATACATTTCACATGAAAACATTTTTCCCGTAACACTTATCTTTCTAATTGAAGTTTATGGAAGGACCCCTTTTGGATGGTCTGTACTGGGACTCATGGTACACTAGCCAGAAAGTGTATGATTTCAAGAACAGCAGTCGCATCTACTATGAGAACATACTTTTAGGATTCCCTAGAGTTCGTCAATTAAAAGTTCGCAACGACACATGCAAGATTCATTCATCCTTTCAATCTTTGATGGATGAATGCTATGACAAATACACTAGTGGAAATGAAGACCTGGCTGACTTTGGCCTTCAAAAGGATACTGAGTAAGTAGTACAACATTACATTTAACTTTCTAGCACCTTGCCATTGTATCTTCTACAAGTGAAAATGTGTGTATTTTCCAAATAATACCAACAGGAATTAGGCAGGTATGGAGACTTTCATTAATAGCATCAATTGAAGACTCAAAACACTAGCAGTACTTAGAAATGGAAGAGTGAAACTTATTCTTTTTGCTTAACAAAGAATGTAATTTTTTTTTTTCACTGTATATGAAATGCTAAGACATAGACACAGGTCAAAGTGTCCATTTTTGGTTTTACAATATTCTGTTAATTAGCGTTTCTAGTCCGGCCAGACTCCCTAAAGCCCATGCCAAATGCTTCTTGGGATCTCCAGGAAATGTCTTAGGTGTGCTCTGCTGCTTTCCTCCTTTCTCTAGACTTGCCTGACTTCAGGCTTATCTTCTGTTGTTGCCAATACTCAACAGGGGCAGTAATGCCCTACAGGTACTGACTCTAATGATGCCTCAAAAAGATATTGTGATCATTGTTCCCCAAACTGCCTGAGGCTAATTCTGGTATAGACACATGTCTACATTTTATATCGAAAATAAGCCCCCTTATCATGGAAACTGCTGTTACCATTTCTTTTAGGGTCCTATGAAAATCGTTAGGGGCAGAGCATAAACCTTTTACAAACTATCACAGTAAAGTGAATATAAGGATCCACCTTTTCCTGCTTACATTCCCACTCTGCAGAAGCAGCCACTTTTAGCAATTTTGATTCTTTCTCCTGGTGCATACTTCTTGACTTTCTAAATAATATTTATATTGCTATTACTGGATTTTACAGTTTCATATATCTCTTGTCTCTCTCATGGAAAGTGTCATGTATCCCTCTTATACCACTCCCTCTATACACACTTTCTGTTCCCTTACCCTCTCAATATAATCATACCATAATTTTTTTGTTAATCATTAGTCAATGTTTATATTATAAATACTAATGACAATTAACATTTCCTTTCTTGAACTCCTTCCCTATACCCCACTAATCATTACTTTGTGGTTTTGTTGACCTGTTTTTGCTTTGTATGCAATTTTGGGTATTCTTGAGGACAACAAAGTGTATAGTTCCTATAAATCTAATAATTATGGTGACTCATCTTAAAATATTGCAGTACTATTCATTATTTCCCTTTCAACAAAAAATGATAAAATAAACCAATTATTTAATTACACATTTTAAATTGGAATGTCAAGACTGGTCTGTTATTCTAACATTCCAAATTCATATAACAACTACAAATAACTTAAATACAAAAATTAATACTATGAATTTGTGATTGTAATACCTGTCCTTTCCTAACAAAGTAAATCAATTTGTCCTCATTTGTCCATTTAAAATGTAACATTTAAAAAAATGGAATCTGGGCCTCCGCGGTGGCGCAGTGGTTGAGCGCTGGGTTGCGAAGCTGCCCGCGGCCTCTGCGGCGCCGGTTCGATCCCCGGCTGCTCCCCAGCCACTGGAGGAGGATCCCACATGGCGCGCAGACCTCTCCTGCCGCCCGCTGCTCCCCTCAGCAGTGTACTTCGGTCCTTCTGCCTGCTCTGCTCCCCGCTCTGGCTCTGGTGAATTCTCTCACCCTCCCGCGCTTCTGACTGTACCCAGTGCATGTATAAACAAAACAAACAAACAAATAAATAAATAAAAACATGCCTCTATAAAAAAAAATAATAATAAAAAAAATAAAAAAATGGAATCTAGGAGAGGGTTGGTATAATAAATTTTCTTGTTTCATTTTAAAATAAATAAATTTTTTAAAAAATTATCTGTTAAGTGGAAAACACTCAAAAATATAACTACAGATATTTCATTAAATATAAGTATTTTTTCTTAGTAATTATTCAAATCTGGGGGAACTGAACAGAAACTGAAATGGTCAAGGTCTTTTTATTTATCTCATAATCAAAAGTAGAAAGAATGGAAGCAAGATTTAGTTATGAACATTTTCTTTGATTTTTTTTGTTTTCATTAAAATAAGATTCCTATAAAGTAATATAGCTATTATAACAAAGTCTATTAAATGGGCTATTCAATTTATAAATGGTAGGTGACCTTTAGAAACCAGACTATAAAGCACCTTTTTCTCCATACTGAGACAGATATTTGTGAATCAAGACCTTTCATAACCATGTTCTACTCAAAGACTGAAGACCTCATAAGACAACATAATTAAAAAAAAATTAGTCATTTGCTAGATTTTAAGTACCCCCAAGGCAACAGATGGAGTAAAATTGTTTTTATTCATAGCATTTAGTCCTGTGTGTGGCCCCAAATAAACACTTCAAAAGGACAGAATATCAAATCTTTATCCTTTGAATTTAACCCTTAGCTCATCATCTTGCTTCAAAATTACTAAATGCTTATGAACTTAGTACTACTTTTTAAATTACTGCTTTTAAGCTGTAGTATTCTTAGACTATTTCTCAGTTAGGTTTTCTCATTTCTCCTTTATTCTTTTTGTACCTAACAGATGGAAGTATTCTTCTCCTGCTGTCAGCTCCCCTAGGCATTGGGGATTTGTTGGTGTTTACAAAAATGGGGGATATATTTTCACTTTATCAAGATCAAAATCTGAAACCAAAAACAAGTTCATTAATCTTCGACTGAACAGCTGGATCACAAGAGGAACTAGAGTTGTTTTTATTGATTTTTCTTTATACAATGCTAACGTAAATCTGTTTTGTATTATTAGGTGAGTGACTCAAAATCTTTTTTTAATTAATATTTTATTTTATATAATTCTTACATTTTTCATTTTTGCACAATGTATGCATTATCATTTTGGTTATATTCCCCATACAATTGCACCCCCCCCCTTATTTTGACCCTAGTCTTTCCTCTCCCCTTCCCTCCCCCCGCCGCCCCCTGTAATCCCTGTAATGTGTCTCTGGTTTATAGTTGCTTGTTGATTTTGATTTTTCTTTGTATTAATTAGTCTTTTTCCTGGTCCCTTATTTAGGTTTTCTAAATTCCTGCTATGTGTGACCATCCGGTATTTTTCTTTTTCTTTCTGAGTTATTTCGCTGAGCATGATCCCTTCTAGCTCCATCCATGTTGCTGAAAACTGCATGTGTTTATCTTTTTTGATTGCTGAGTAATATTCCATTGTGTATATGTACCACATCTTCTTGATCCAGTCATCTATTTTTGGGCATTTAGGTTGTTTCCATAGCTAAGCTATTGTAAATAGTGCTTCTATAAACATAGGGATGCAGGTGCCCTTTGGAATTAATGTTTCTGTGTCATTTGGGTAAATATCTGGGAGTAGAATTGCTGGATCATATGGAAGCTCTATGTTTAGTAGGTCAAGAAATCTCCACACAGCTCTCCATAGTGGTTGGACCAGTTTGCACTCCCACCAGCAATGCAGGAGAGTCCCTTTTTCTCTACAACCTCGCCAACATTTGTTGTTGCTAGTTTTTTTAATATGTACCATTCTCGCTGGTGTAAGATGGTATTCAAAATCTTTTTATTAGTTTATTCAATTTAAAAAGCATCCAGGACCCTCAATAGGGTTTCTATTTTGTGTGCATATTTGTACTGAGTAAAAATCATAAGCTTCAAAATTAATATTATATAGTTCAGCCAATAATGAAAAAGTAGATAAAATAATAACATATTCATTGTTTCATTATTTCAGAATACATTCAAGAATATAGAGAATTACATACATATATTAGTTTTAAATTACTTAGGATATTGTCATTCTTGAATTGCACAGAGCTAACATTTACTATTGATTTCTTCCTCTAAATTAGATCATTTGAATCTGCTGATATCCTTTCAGAATGAGCTTCTTTATTAAGTTATTCATTTTTGTTTCAAGAAGGAACAGTTCAAATTTCCTAGAAATGATGAGAGCCTATGGTGATATGCAAGTATGATCCCAGTTCTTCACATCTTTGCCATGCGGCCTCCCAGTCCCCTGTCATCCAGGGAGGGTGCATCTCCACAGCCCTTGATGCTCAACCTGTGACTTGCTTTGATTAATGGAGTGTTAGTGGATATGATGCAAGCAGAAATGAGTTTATACATTAAAACCTGCTGTCTTGCTCCTCCACCACTGCATGACTAGGTCAACTTGCACCCAAGAGGAAGGAAGAGGCACCATTTCATTAGGATGAAAAAGATTAAGAGAAAAACAAACCAGAGAAAAAAGTTCATTACATTAGTCTGATACCTCAGGTTATCTGCCTAATCAGGACCATACAAAATGATTTAGGCCTATGTTCCAGAATGAAACACTGCCAGAGGCACATTGGATCTACCTGGGGATTGAGTCAGCTTCCTCCAAGGGATCTGATAGTAGGCGGATGCCTAATACAATCAGGGTTCTGTTAGAAGAAATGGGATAATGACAATTAGATAGGCAAACAGTTACATTCACTCAAATCTCAGTGACCTACTTTTCTCTATGAAACTTACATGTTCATTCTGAATGGAATATGGAATTGGTGTTTACTCTGATTAGGGAGGGAATATTGTCCGTGTGACAGTGAAACACAACCATGGCCTTTAAAATTTATAAAGATGAGTAAAATTAATGAACTTAAGCAGCCAATGGACATTATCCTTTTTATAGTTCTTTCAGGGAATCAGAACTTTTTTTTTTTTAAGATTTATTTATTTATACGAGAACTGGGGTACAGGCCAGGGAGGGTGAGAGAATTCACCAGAGTCAGAGCAGAGAGCAGAACAGGCAGATGGACCGAAAGCACTGCTCAGGGGAGCAGCGGGCGAGACAGGAGAGGTCTGTTGTACCATGTGGGTATCTCCCTAGCCGGCCGGGAATCGAACCTGCACTGCAGAGGCTGCGGAAAGCCTCACAGTGCTGTGCTCAACCTGCTGCACCACTGGGGAGGCCCGAATCAGAGATTTCACCAATATTAATCACCCTTCCCAACAGTCTTGTTCAAGATAAAGTGAAGAATACAAATCATTTCTACGTCCTATATAAGAGTATAAACATTGGGGTAACTGGCTTAAAGTCATATGAAGGACTCCTTGTAGTACTAGACTAAGTCTAAATTTCCTGTCTCTAGGTTTTTGTTTATTCTGTTACCTCTTAAAATATTTTTTAAAAATTAAGTAGATTTGGAAACTATTAACTGGCAGTATAATCAGTATTTGTATGGAAGAAAATTGTTTTTCCAATTATGTTCCTTTTTGTATATCTGGCAAACTAACTGAATGCTGTATTTTCCTTTTTTGTTAGTCTACACTTCTGAGTTATTTCACTTCACTCCTTTATCCAACATTGTGCACTTATTTTGTGTAACTTGAAACAAATTGTTCTGGGTTCTATTTGTTAACTAGTTGTTTGGGTTTTGTTTGCAGTACCTTATTCCACTACCAATAAAATTTGCTAATAGCTTTAGTTAGGAATAATTACATCATAATGTTCTGTGGTGGAGATACTGGTTCATTAAATTACTACCAATTCTTAATTATCCTTGATCTTAGTTATCTGTATCCTGATTACACAGTAAGCAACTCAAAATCTTTTTATACTTAGTGTTGGAATAAATAAATCATTGTACCCAACAACCATTACCTAAAGCAAACAAAAAACATTTACTTTGTGATCTTGACATTTAGAAGTAAGAACTATCTCTGATAAGCTAAAAGAAAAGAATATATTTCCTTCCTCTGGAATAATCAAAAATTATGTTTGTATGGGGTGCTTGACTAATAACAGTAATTAACAGTATAGTATTTTCTCGAACATCATTTCATTCTCCTGTAGAGACAAATTAGTATTCACAGTGATGAATGAGCAATCTGGACACAAAATAGAGTGACTGTCTGGCTAAAAACACATCTTACTTTCTTGTTTTCATGGGTCTTTGACCACTGTGAATATTCAGAATACCAAAAAAATGGAGCCATTAAAAAGTAAGTCCTCTAGAAAATTTTTAATTGCATCCATGACCCCCAAAAAACATATTTTGTACAAAATAACTGATTATCATTAAAGTACATATCATCACTGATTAGAAATTTCACATTGAGTTAGATACTGAAATAACATGCCTGAAATGCAGTTTTCACAAACTTAATTTTACAGATTGGTGGCAGAATTCCCGGCAACTGGAGGAATCCTTACTTCATGGCAGTTTTACTCTGTGAAACTCCTCAGATATGTTACCTTCTATGATTATTTCATTGCTTCCTGTGAAATCACATTTTGTATTTTTCTTATTGTCTTCACGGCACAAGAAATCAAAAAAATAAGAGACTTTAAGTCTGCCTATTTCAAAAGTATTTGGAACTGGTTAGAACTGCTGCTATTGGTGGTAAGTGTATACTCCCATGTATGGGTGACGGGAATCACATCTGAACTCACCACAAAGGAGGCGAACAATAGCAGAGTTTGCTATTCATCTGGGATTTATTTTAAAAGCTACAAGTATCAAATCATAAAATGAACTGTGATGGTACATACTAATGGTGTGCCTCCAACAGGGTCTGTTTTGGGGTTTTGTTTAGTTTTTGAGAGCACCAGCATAAATCTAGAGGAATAGGTGACTCCACAGGCTTTATGATGTCCTGTGCAGTTGCCTAAATCTGCTTTCCTCCTCATACTGAATTTTGAACTAGTCAAAAGGCAAGCCTAGGCAGAATGCTGAAGGGGGCTTGAGAATCTTGATCGTAGTTTGAGAGGACCCAGATTAGGGAAATAGTCCCTGGAAGAAACACCTGAAACTGCCAGTTCTGGTCACTAGAACATACTAAAAATAAAGACAGAGCTATAGGCAGGGAAGTGGTAAGAGGTTGGTCTTAGGTAAAATGAACAAACATTTCTGGTTTATACAATCTAGTCTTTCACCCTCACTAGCCCTTAGTTACAGCCAATCCAGCATATAAACCTGGTTTTCCAAAACCAGATTGAAAGTTTCTGAGTCAGAAAGTACACCATCTGCACCTCTGGTATATCCAGTAATATTGAAGTATGGTATAGCATTAAATGTTTAACTGAGTATTTCAGGCAAAAGAAATCAAAGGAAAGTTTTTGTGACTATGTAAAGCTCTGATACTTAAGGTGACCTCATTCTGAAATCCTGTTCTGAAAGGTTGTTAAAGGTCTCTATGGGGGCTTGTTTTGGGGGAATGGTAAAATTCTTTTCTTGTATTACATGATGGGAAAGATTAAGCTTTATGGAGCAGAAGCCCTTACAGCCTCTTCAGAATTATAATCATTTCATATGTTTGTGTGTTCTGACTCAAAGAAACAAGCAGGCAGATAGATTAGATGGTCAGGTGATAATTACTTTTCTCTTATGTTACCTTAAACATACGTAAGTTGAGACTTTTATTTATGTAAAAACACATATCTTTCCTTTTTCTTAAATATTTGATTAACTTTTTAATGTTTTTCTGCATAGGTTGCAGAAGGTCTAGAGTAGAAATAGTCTCTAATTTAACCCTTCTTCTTTTCCCATTTAGTTGTGTTTTGTGGCCATTTTCTTCAATGCATACTGTAATATACAAACTTTTCTCTTACTTGGACAGTTATTAAAAAATTCTGAAAAATATTCAGATTTCTATTTTCTTGCATACTGGCAAGTTTATTACAACAATATAATTGCTGTTACCATCTTCTTTGCATGGATAAAGGTATTTATATTACATTCAATACAACTGATTAAATATACTATTTCATTATATTAGATGGCATAATGGGAACTTAAACTAAAGTCATGAAAAACAGAAGAATTTTCTTAATTATAAGGTAAATTGCTGTTACCATCTTCTTTGCATGGATAAAGGTATTTATATTACATTCAATACAACTGATTAAATAATATACTATTTCATTATATTAGATGGCATAATGGGAACTTAAACTTTAAAGTCATGAAAAACAGAAGAATTTTCTTAATTATAAGGTAAAGTAAAAGTAGTTCAGCTCACCATATGACTTCTCTCATGGTATATAAGAAAACTAACAGAGGAATTAAATAAACTTTTCAAACTATAAGACTAATTAGTGGTTAGCATAAGGGAAGACGTCAGGGCAGTGGGGTCTTTGGGACAAAGGGGACAATCATGAAGGACAGAACTGGACTTCCAGTGGTGAACTTAATGTTGATTTTTAATGATGCACCTGAAAATGTCCTAATGCAATCTAACTTAAATAAAAAGAAAGGAAAAGAGTACGTCGTACTTAAAAAAAAAGGTAGTTTAGCCTTATAATGTTGCTGGAAAATCCCTAAATACCCTTGTCATTAAGCACCTCCCTTAATTTGAAGTAGATTTCTTCTGACATTAACTTATTCTAAGTAACTATAATCTGTGATATTTTCCTATTTCAATTCACTTTGTTCTTTTTCAGATATTCAAATTCATAAACTTTAATAAGACAATGTCTCAGCTGTCATCCACCTTGTCCCGCTGTTTCAAAGACATAATAGGATTTGCCATCATGTTTTTTATCATATTCTTTGCTTACGCTCAATTAGGATATCTTGCTTTTGGATCACAGGTTGATGACTTTTCCACTTTCCAAAATTCCATGTAAGCTCTTAGTATAAATGTAATGATAATTTCTGGTTTGTAACAACAAAAAAAAAATCATGAACAGGTCTACGAAAAGGGTAACACAGCTTTAACAAATTTAAACGTGGGTTGATATTTTCACTGACAACAAAATAGCTCTCACACTCAAAGTATGGTTTGGCATGAAAAGATCCAAATGGATAGTGAAGCCTATTTTTAACTTTTACTGGGTCAAGTTAGGAAAATAATTTTTTTTGTTTCTTACTGGAAGTAAAAATTTTACCTAACAGAAATTGGTCACTAGCTATTTAACCTTTTTAGTCCTTATTTTCTTTATCTGTAAACAAAGAGGCTGGACTAGTTCACTCCCAAAGATCCTTTCCAAATTCAAACAACCTGTAAGTTAAGAAGTCTAATTAACTTATCCGAAATGAATTCTGTTTGTAGACCCAACAACTTCTTGGTCCTTTGCTAGGATCTTAACTCAAGTGGTACTTACTAACTTAGTAGTATTGGTACCGAGTATAAATGCAGTAACTAACATACCTGGGAAATTTGTCTTACCTTGAATAGTTGGGAAGAAAGGAAGTATGTCACACAATAAACAGGTAGAGAACTTTGGAATGGGTTAGTTAGAGGACCTCTGCTTTTGCTAATTATGTGATAGGTTATTCAGATCAACCTTCTCTTCAGGACAATTTAAAATGTTGCATGAAATACAAGAAACTCTATAAAGAACTAACAAAAAAATGAGTAATAAGTAGACCAAAATCAGAAGGGGGAACCCAGAGAAGCAAGACCCATACCCAAAGATACTTTTACCCTGAAGTGTTTTTTTAACTTTTTTTTTTTTGTGCTAAACAATACAAGATTTAAATTTTGCCATCCTTATACATAGTTCATCGATATTAACTAATTCACACTGTACAACCACCCTTTTCCAGAACTCTCTTCATCTTGCAAAACTAAAACTCTATACCCATTAAATAACTCACTGTTCTCTACCTTTCCCCAAGCCCTCGCAACAATCATTCTACTTTCTGTCTACAGTTTTGATTACTAGGTACCTAATGCAGTTGTACCATACTTATCTTTTCGTGACTGATTTATTTCACTTAACATAATGTCTTCGAGATTCACGTCAGAATGTCCTTGCTCTTTAAGACTGAATATTCCATTGTATGTATATACCACATTTTGTATATCTGTCATCTGTTAGGGAACACTTGGAGGGTGAACAGTGCTATTACTGATGCTACTATCTTTTTCAAGACCCTGCTTTCAATTCTTTTCTGATATATATGCAGAGATGGAATTGCTGGGTCATACTATAATTCTGTGTTGAGGGTTTTTTTGGAACTGGCATACTGCTTTTGATAGCAACATTATCATTTCACATTCCCACTAACAGTAAACACAAGTTCTAACTTCTCCACCTCTTCACCAGTAATTGCTTTTTTTTGGATTTTTTTTTTAAAAGATTTATTTATTTGTTTATACAAGCACTGGGTACAGTCAGAAGCATGGGAGGGTGAGAGAATTCACCAGAGCCAGAGCGGGGAACAGAACAGGGAGCCTGACGAAATACACTGCTGAGGGGAGCAGCAGGCGCAACAGGAGAGGTCTGTGTCGCCATGTGGGACCCTTGCCCGGTGGCCAGGGATCGAACCAGTGCTGCAGAGGCTGCAGGCAGCTTCACAGCCCAGTGCTCAACCGCTGCGCCACTGGGGAGGCCCTGGATTTTTTTTAAAATAGTTATCCTAACAGGTATGACATGATCTTGTAGTTTTAATTTGCATCACCCCAGTGATTAATGATAATTAAACATCCTTTCATGTGTTTATGCATTTGTTGGTCCACTTGACGATGCTCTGTTCACTTTTCTTTAATCTTCTTTCTTTCTGAGCCGAAGACAATATTTTCAATTGTTCTGTCTCAAGTGTGCTATTTTTTTATTCTGCCTAATCAAATCTTCCTTTGAATCCCTGTAGTGAACTTTGCATTTCAGCTGTACTTTTCAGCTCTAGAATTTCTTTTTGGTTTCTTCATAGGATTCTCTTTTTTTTTTTTTTTAAGATTTATTTATTTATACAAGTACTTCAGGAGGGTGAGAGAATTCACCAGAGCCAGAGTAGGGAGCAGAACAGGCAGAAGGACTGAAGTACACTGCTGAGGGGAGCAGTGGGCAGCAGGAGAGGTCAGCACGCCATGTGGGACCCTCGCCTGGTGGCCGGGGATCGAACCAGTGCTGCAGAGGCTGCAGGCAACTTTGCAGCCCAGCGCTCAACTGCTGTGCCACCAGGAGAGGCCCTCTTCATAGGATTTCTATTTGATATTTCCATTTTGTTCTTACATCATATTGGTAACTCTAGAAATCAGACTCTCTCTTCTCAAGGGTTTGTTGTTTTTTGGTTTTGTATTTTATTGTTGTCAGATGTCTCTGTGCTAGGGGCCAGGCCGAAGTGTGAACTTCTCAGGTCTTTCCTCAACCCATGGCTTTCCTTGGGCATAGTGACCTTCTGATTTCCTCTGTATAGGCAGCTGCATTTGAATGTCCTAGTCTTTAATATCTGGCTCCCAAAATGGGAAAAAGAGAAAAATAAAGGAGGGAAGGGCACTGGTCCTTTAAATTCCAAACATTGCTCCAGCAATCAGAGCACTGCCCAAGATGTTGGGAGTACAAGGTCTTAAATGCCCTGTGTCTGGCTTTATTGGCCATGATAGCCCAAGGAATCTCAATTTGAATTTGGATTAAAATGGTCTCAGGCTAGAATGCTTGCATGCACCACAGAATTGAACAAAAAACCTCTCTGGACAAAGTTATCTAATCCTTAAATTCAAGTAATTTTTAAAATTTAAAATCCTTAAATGTAAAATCCTTAAATTGCTTCTACAAGTAATTTTAAAATATAATTGAAGGTTATTTGAACATAACCTGATACACAAGGGGGAAAAAAAGCATAAGCAAGAACCAGGTATAATAGAAACACTGATTTCAGATACTAATCAAGCAATATTTACGACATAGAGAAAATTAAAGATATCTTCAGAGAACAGGATGTATAAAATGTGACTTACTTGAAAAAAGTATCAAAAAGAATTCTAGAGCTGAAAACTATAGTAGTTGTCATTAAAATCTGGTCAACAGGTTTGACTGCAAATAATACAGATAAAGAATAAAGTGAAAATAGGTCAAAAATTATTTTAAAATGTGATACACACAAAATATTAGGAGATGGTATGAGACATGAAGGATAGACTGAGAAGAGAGTTTAGGAGTTACAGAAGGAGAGTGAAATAGAGGCAATATTTGGAGAAGTCTTAGGAACAGTGATTACCCAATTACACCTCCAAGTGAGAAACTAGAAAGTCTTATTAACACAAATAGTACAATATTATGGAAAAAATCTTATTAGCTATTTTAATTCACTAAGAGAAAACTTTAGAAAATTAGCAGTAGTATCAAAACATTACAATAGTTTTTTCCAATGTAGCACTATATACTAAAGGATCATAGGTTCCTTTTATTTTTTTTAAATTTTTTTTTTTAATTTGAAGTCTGTCCCTTTGACTTTATTGGAAAGGTTCTTATAATATTAGTTACATAAAAATGATGCTTGAATTTTAAGCATCAGCATTTTTAACATATATTTTTTAATTTTATACTTTTTTTACATTATTTTTCATTCTTGCGCAATGCTTTTAGATTGAAAAAAAGGGGATAAATTAAACTCCAATTAAGATAAAAATGACGGGGCCTCCCTGGTGGCGCTGGGTTGCGAAGCTGTCCGCAGCCTCTGCTGCGCCGGTTTGATCCCCCGCCACCGGCGAAGGTCCCACATGGTGCAACAGACCTCTGCCATGCCCGCTGCTCCCCTCAGCAGTGTATTTCATCAGTCTGCCTGCTCTGCTCTCCCCTCTGGCTCTGGTGATTTCTGTCAACTTCCTGCACTTCTGACTGGACCCAGTGCTTGTATAAATAAATAAATCTTTAAAAAAAGAGAGAGAGAAATGACAATATCACTGTATTTGAAGTTTCCAGTTCCTATGTGATTTTATCAGTAAATCATTTTTTTAAATTCTTAGTATTATTTTCACTTTCCTAACAGAAAAGGACAAAATGGCAGCTTTAGTTAATGAGCTAATTTCTGAAGAGAATGGAGCCTTTAACTTACCATTTCTTATATATGACAAATGAAGTTGAAAGATCAAATTAGAAACAACAGAGCCTTTTACTGTTCTATGCCAGAGAGAAAAAAAGATACTTGATTTGTTGAAACTTGAGTATTGTTCCCATTCAGCATATCTTTTGGTTGGAGCATTACAAACTTATATTAAGAACTGGATAAATATTTTAAGGTATGACTTAGTCAGGTCTTGGTTATTGGTGAAATTCCAGTTAACTCTGAGACCTAGGACTCCAAGTAGCCTATTTCTTTGAATACATTTTCTTCCTTCATTGTAGACAGCCCTATGTGCCTTCATGTGATTGGCAAAATCAACAAGGAAAAAAGAAGTGTTCTCCTTTTTGACTGACCAACCAATCATGCAAACTATCTACAAAATATTAAAAATTCCTTGCCAGATTTCCCTTTATAATAAAGAATTGGTACACATAACTTACAATATGTCCATGGTATGTCTGGCAATGCCACTGCAAATTAATGGTAAGAAAAGAGTTCAAGTTAAGAAATATTAATTCTACCTCCACAACCACTATAAACTCATTCAAAGCATTTTAATTTTTCATTTTTAAAATAAAGGTTTATAAAATGCCACTTTACAACAAAACCAAGTTTTTATAGTAATTGAGAGAATGAAATAAACTTCAGGACCATGCTCCCAAATACATTAGTAACCCCCATCAATTGTCACATAATGTGTGAAGGATTAGAATATTCTGATATTTTTCTTTCTTTCCATTAAAGATTTGCACAATTTCGAATTGTTCTTGGAGATTTTAATTTTGCTGGTATTCAGCAAGTCAGTCGTGTCTTGGGACCCATTTACTTCGTCACTTTCATCTTTTTTGTGTTCTTTGTCCTGCTGGTAAGAATAAACACTTGCTCTTTTTTTTTTTCTTAATCTTTTAGAAAAATAAAATTACTTAGAAGAAATTATGGTATCACAGCTTAGCTGTCAGAACACTTTACATTATTAAGAATGATGTGACTCCCTAGTAATCAGGTTCCCTAGTCCAGTGTCTACATGTTTTCATGTTGCCCAGTGGCGATTATGACCTCTCTAGTTACCATCTGGGTGTTAACTGTGTTGGAGATGTGCTGACTCTTTCACATATAGAACTTGAATGCCCAGGTCTCTCCATCCTTAGACATCCCATACATTAGGTATGAATTTGGCCATTAATATTCTGCCCATATGGTTTTTGGCTGTTACAGCTGAAAGCTCACGGGGTGGGTCTCTCACATATGCTCAGGACAAAGCTTCTTGGCCTCCAGAACCTTGTCTTCTTCAAGGTACTGCTACTCCTCTAGAAAAAAATTTTGGGGACACATGTAGCAGTTATCCCCTAGAGGGGGCAGCATCCTCAGGATGACAGAGTTGAGCCACAGTGAAGGTGGAGAGGTGGACTGGGGGATCAGGGGTAATCAGAGTACTGTCTCTCCACAATTTTGTTTTCTGGATGTTAGCAGTCATTGGCATCTCAGTGAGAGTGTGCACTTAACTTCTATGGATTTTTTTAAAACCACCTTTCTAAACAGGTAATTACATTATTTTTTTTCTGATATGAAATATTTGCAATGACTATAAGGAGCCAGTTCATGTGCAGTATTTTCCATTCTGCTTTTCTCATTTACCATAAATGTATTTTCATATCCACACACTATACATCCCCATTCTATATTGTAGGCTACAGAACAATCTTTATATTGATGTTAAATTTTTAACCTAATTTTTAAAATCCAAGCATTTGTCACTAATACTTAAACTAAAATTTTATTAAAGCTGTTGTTTGAATATTTCTCCTCAGAACATGTTCTTGGCTATAATTAATAACACCTATTCTGAAGTGAAAGCTGATTATTCATTAGGCAGAAGGCCAGACTTTGAACTTGGTAAAATGATTAAAAAGGTATGTCAATTTTTTCCCCTAATTAAATTTTCTCAGCTTATACTCTTGTAGTTTAAGTAACATTTAAACCCCACATGGTAGTGGTTTTCTGGTCCAGTGTTTTGTCACTGGGCTTAAGTGACATTTGCTCTTTGGGATTAAAAATATGTCCAAAATTATTTCAGAGTTCAATGTATCTAATAGTAACTGAGCTATTCACTAAATGCAAAGCACTGTTGGTATTACAGTAAAACTCTTTCAAATTAGATGCTGGTAAATTTCTCCTAACAATCTAAACTCAGAACTCCGTGTCTTCCACTTTTCCTGTTTCTCTTAAGGGCAACACTCTTTTTCTCAGTTACCTGACACAAAACCTTGGATTTTTTAAATTTCCTTGTTCTGTTGCCAATGCATGTTTACGGTTCAATTGCTCACAATTGTGGAAGTCAAGCACACTTTGAATTCTACTACCACTACATTAGGGCCTTGAGTACCTTTCACCCAGACTTCCGTAGCCTCTTCTACATGCCAGTCCAGCTGATTGTATGACTTCTCTACTAAAATTTTTCAGTCTTTTTTCCCCTCCCATTCCCTCCCTTGACATTCTATTCTTCCCGACAGAGTGGACTCTTCCTTGACCTCTGGACATCTACCTCACTTTGACTAATAGCAGTCATGCCGTGCCATCTGCCACCTCTGTAACCTCACGGCTCTCATCACAGCACTTCACATAAGAAAGGTCCTAATAGCTGTGGGCTTTAGTAGGGTTTACTCTGTCCAAGAACTTACCTATAAAAGAAAACTATTAAGATGTCCCCTAATTGCTTTGTGTTTTCCTTATCATTTGTCTCTTCATTTCATTGGATGTGTTAAATTGTTAACATCCTTAATGCAACAAATGTTAATGCTTTCAAAAGATTTTTTTCAAGGTCAAATGTGATGCCTCCAAGAGTGCCCTTTTCTTTTTCACCAGCAGATCAGAAACCTTGAGTGATGACAAAGTGAAAGAAGGATAATCATTAACACGTGCCTCCAGATTTCTTTAGTAGTCCATAGAGATAAGCATATCATATTTCCATTATCTTGATCAAAAATTAACACAATGGGATATATTTTTGATTAACTTCTAAACTGTCTTTCATTATGTCCAGAGTTACAACAATGTTCTCGAAAAACTCAGACTAAAGAAACCCAAAAAGGATGAAGACAAAAGGTAACATGAATTTTTTTCCCAGCTAGAAATGTGATACTTGGGAGAACTTATTAATGACATTTTTCCAAATAATTAGATTATGAGAAAGAACAAAAATGCACTCCAGATCCTTACTGTACATCTGATTGTATTTTACGCTGGCAGTTTCCTATTACTGTCATATGTCTCTGATTTTTATTTTATACTTTCAGTATGAAAACGGGGGATTTGGCTGAAAAAGCCAGAAGAGAAGGCTTTGATGAAAAGGTAAAATTTTAATTTTCTCATAAAGAATAATTTTAGTTAAAATGTGCTTTAAAAAAAAAATTGTAAGATTCAATTTGCATTTCTGAGAGCAGCAATTGACACCTCCAAATATTTCTCCCAAGATCTAGATCCTTTCCTGTTTAGGACAAACCATTTGGATTTTATATGCTCCATCTCATGTTATTGCTCTCAGCAGATAAATTAGTCTTACAGGTACACTCACTGAGGATTATCACATATGGTTCAGTGAGTATATGCTATTCAGATAATTATATAATTTATCTTTTATAATCATTACCGTGATAAATCACTTTAATTTTTATATTTCAAAATCTGTATCTTATATTTAACAAATGATTTATTTAAAAATGATTGTAAAGGGCCTCCCCTGGTGGTGCAGCTGTTGAGCGCTGGCTGGGCTGCGAAGCTGCTCACAGCCTCTGCAGCACTGGCTCAATTCCCAGCCGCCAGCAAGGGTCCCACATGGCACGACAGACCTTTCCTGTCTCGCCCGCTGCTCCCCTCAGCAGTGTATTTCGTCAGTCTGCCTGTTCTGTTCCCTGCTCTGGCTCTGGTGAATTCTCTCACCCTCCTGCGCTTCTGACTGTACCCAGTGCTTGTATAAATAAATAAATAAATCTTAAAAAAAAATTATAAAGCAAACCCCTACATACTGTAATGTCATAATTTTTAAAAAATGTATGTTGTTTTTTTTGAAGATTTATTTATTTATACAAGAACTGGGGTACAATCAGAGGCGTGAGAGGGTGACAGAATTCACCAGAGATAGATCGGGGAGTAGAACAGGCAGACAGACCGAAGACACTGCTGAGGGCGAGGCAGGAGAGGTCTGCTGCACCATGTGGGTTTCTCCCTGGGAAATCAAACAGGAAGCAAACCCACGCTGCAGAGGCTGCAGACAGCTTCACAGCAGGGCCCTCAACCCGCTGCACCAGAAAAAAAACCAACAGAACAATGTTCTACCCCTTCTGGTTGTTCCTCATCCTTTGTAACATTGCTGCCAAAGATTCATAACATAATGAAACGTCACACAAAACTGAGATAGTCTGCAAAGTAACTGGCCTGCATTCTTCAAAACTGTCAAAGCTATGAAAGTCAAGATAATGCTAAGAACTATGCCAGACAGAATGAAATTAAATGACAAGTAAATATAATGTACAATCCTGGACTGGGTCCTTTTATAGTAAAGGGCATCACTGAAAAAACTGGTATTATTTGAATAAGGAACTTAGAATTTGATATAATAATATATTGACATAAAATTTCTGATTCTGATTGTTGTATGATAATCATAAAGGAAAACATCTTTGTATGCAGAAAATATACACTAAAGGATTCAGGGACAGGGCCCTCCTTGGTGGCCTAGGGGTTAAGTCTCAGCACTATCACTGCTAGGGCTGAGTTCAATCCCCAACCAGGGAGCTAAAACACATGGTGCAGAAGACCTCTGCTGTCTGGTCCTCTGCTCACTGCAGTAGTGTATTTCAGCAAATCTACCTGTTCTGCTCCCCACTCTGTCTTTGGTGAGTCCTCTCACCACCGCACCTCACCCCTGGCACCTCTGGCCTACACCCCAATTAAAAAAAAAAAAAAATTCAGGGACAAAGGGGCATTCATGTTGACAAATTCAAATACTTTTAGAGAATAAATGTGTATTATTTTTGTAACTTTCCCCTGAGTTTGATATTATTTAAATATTTATGATTCTATAAGCCATTTCTGAATTAAAAAACATTTTTTTTTTTAAGTTTATTTATACAAGAACTGGGGTATAGGCCAGATGTGCGGGAGGGTGAGAGGATTCACCAGAGACAAAGCCGGGAACAGAACAGGCAGAATGACTGAAATACACTGCTGAGGGGAGCAGCGGACATCTCCGAGGCCAGCAGGGATCGAACCAGCACTGCAGAGGCTGTGGACAGCTTCACAGCACTGTGCTGAACTGCCTGCACCACCAGAGAGGCCAAACAATATACATTTAAAGATATACTGTGTACCTGGAAAAAAACTACCTAGAATAACACAAGACTTGTGACAACTTGTTTACTTGTGTAAACAAGTAAAATTTGGGTTTAAGTAAAAGGAAAAGACAATCAGGCTAATAGGACAACATCCAACACTGTAAGTCAATAGAAGAATACATATAGTATATTTCAGGAGAGAAAAATGTAAACCATGAATTTTTTAAGAATAAAGGTTCAAACAGTTTTGAGTACTACTGTATTCCTGAGGATTCTACAAGAGGATAAGCTTCAGCAAACCAGGGATGGTTGGAGAAATTGTGGAAAAACAGAGAGTGATACAACATAAAAGCTTCAGTGACTGGTTCACATATAATAGCTAAAAGTTAAAGAACATTATTTAGAATTAATAACCAAAAAGCAGCTTTCACACATTTAATATTCGGTTGTTGGAAAAGTCATCATGCATTAACACATAAGATATTGTTTTACTGAGTTATAACCCATTTTTCCCACATTTTAGCATCTCTGAAATCAAGCCTCGCCTTGTGTTTGACAGTGTTTCATTGGCAGCATTTTTCCCTTAAGTGGTTTGGGTCCTGGTTGAGGGAACCAAAGCAAGAGAGGGCAGATTCCGGGCATATAGAGATAGCTGAATAAAGACAAACCACTAAAACAAAAACACATACAACATGCTAAGGGGCAGAAGTACCAAAAAAATAAGAACTGAAAATATACCACACAGTAAAAAACTTGAAAAATGTAACATAAATATTATGCTATAACTCTAGCCAGATAGTTGTGATATTCAGTAAAGGCAAATAATCCTAATTTATTTAAAAAGCACATATTTTCCAATTGAATCACACAGCAATGTCTAATTCTACACTATACACTAAAATATATACCTAAAACAAAATGATTCAAAAAAGTTAAATATGAAAGCATGAGCACAGTTATTAATATGCCAGCAAAAGCTACCAGGGGGCACATCTAAGTTAAAGTACAATTCTAGACAAAAACTCGACATGAAGGGAGCTTTATAAAGATAAGATCAACTTTAATAGCTGATTACTATGCACCAAATAATATGGCATCAACTTCCACAAAGATAAAACTATTAGATTTATAAAATGAGAAATAAGAACAATACTAAAATCAGAGAACAGATTAAGGAAAATTAAAGGGTAAAGAAGACCAAAACAATATATTGAATTAGGCAATCTTAGAGTTAGGCATACTCTCAAAAGATACAGCTGCTTTTCAAAAACCCATTCATGAAAACTGAATATATATTAGGCCACAAAGAAAATCTCAAATTCAAAACTGTAGATAATGTGTGAAAAATTCTCTGAAAACAACACAAAAATATATTAACCAAAATAGAAAATGAAAATCCTTTAATAAGAAATTTTAAATGGTCTTTTGAACAATTCTTATATCAAAGAGAAAATATAACATTGCAGAATTCCTAAAAAAAAAAAAAAAATTAAAAACACTATAGCAGAATCTAAAGATAAAATCAAAGAAAACCCAGAGGAAATTAATAACCTCAAATTTATTAATAAAAATCAAAGACTGGAAAGAATTTTAGCATGTGACTCAAAAAAAATTAGAATAAGTAAACAGAAATAAGACCAAAGAAAAGCAGAATGAATTAGAAACAAAATAGTAGTATAAATAAAAAGGCTACTTCTATCAGTAAAAAGAAACTACAACCCAGTAAATAGAATAAACACAGAGATTATAATGGGGGAAATCATCAAGAAACAGAAGGAATTAAAAACTATCATTGAAAGTGAAGACATATCACATTCAGACTATCAGAATTCACTACATCTCATTATTATTCATGATTAAAATATCCATACAATCCAAAGCAATCTACAGATTCAGTTCAATCCCCATCAGATTTCCAGTAACCTTTCCTTACAGTCCTCTAATATCTCAGAATTCTCTATAGCAAATCCCCTTCCTAAATTATCTAATGTGGTTTCTTTCTCTGACTGTGCCCTGATAAATACTTGACTGCAAATGGCAAGGAGGTCCTTCAAAGAAACTCTCATAAATAGAATCCTTCTATTCAGGATTGAAAGTCATCTTTTCCTACTTCAGATATGTTGAAGATAGACGCTGCTATAATACTTTCTCAGACCAGATCAGCACACATTCATCAGGTAAACAGCATATAAACTTAAGCATCACCATCTCTTCCAAGGAAGGAATTCAGAACCCTTATTAAAAGACATCCACATTGTTACCTATGACATACCACATTGTTTCCCTGCAGGAGCAGGGAAATTTCATATTAATTGAGAAGTCTTTGAATCACATCTTCCTCCAAGATTGTCCCTATTTCCCACAATGCACAGGGCGTTTTTTCTGAAATTGGGAAAAAAGGTATTTGGGTGCCATTAAGGACAAAACACAGGATCCTTTAAGATCAGAGAAAGGTGCAGCAATAAAAATTTTCTGGAACGAGCTTATAAATTGATATAGATTGAACATACAGATTGATTCAGTAATTAAGAAGAGGCAATTGGAGTAAGGTAAGAGTAGGAGTCTCCATGAGAAGCAAATACCCACAGATGTACTCTGAAGTACATTTCCTTCTTTCAAGTACGGCAATACAGAAAAAAAAAATCTCAGCTTTGGTCAAGTAAAGGAAAAAAATCAGGAAACTACTCAGCTGGAAGTGCAGAGGGAAAGAGTCAGTGAAACAAGAATTCACTGTCCATATTTACAAGTCACAATAATAAAAATAATAATCAGCACCCTAACTCTGCTATGCAGTTCTTACACCAACCTCTGAAGTAACTCTGCTGATGCAAAGACCTAAAAACAGGCAAAGCAAAAAGCCAACTGGTCTCAAAACCACAACCCTGGAGAGAATAGTTTAAGATTCTCAACACTGTAATGCTTGTGTGCCAAAGACCTTAAGTAGAGAAAAACTGATAAAAAAAATTGCAGCCTGGACTTTTCCTCTAACTTGACAGGAGATTCAAAGTGCAGAGCAGATGAAAAAATGGAAAGAGAGGCTTGAGAAAAAGTATTATTCTGCAGAAATTCAAGATGACTACCAGCCTGTCACTCATCAAGAGTTTCGAGAGTAAGTATGTGTTCTAACCAGAGAACTATAGGGTATCATCAGATGGGGGTTAGAGACATGGGTTATGCACATTACTCTCCTGAACCCACCACCTTATTCTGTTGAGATGCCACATTTTTAAACTTTTTACCCAACTTTAACATTAAACAGAAAGTGCAAGACTCTAAGGAGAACAATTTCTTTTATTCATATGGCTCTAAACAATTGAAACTATCATATGCACCTGTTACCAAAGCAAATACTGTTCTCCACAGTTTTAGAATATTAGATTCACCACTGGCCATACTAGGCAGTTTTAAGAGCTTAAAATTCTTTGTTCCCACTCACATGAAAGTATGCTACTGACTCATTCTTTACTTCCTCCTAAATAATCCTCTAGACTCTTTTTATATGCCGTGGAACTGGAGAAAGAATTACACTATGTCAGTTTGAAACTAAACCGAGTGATGAGAAAGGTTTCAGCTCTACAGTAAGACAAATGGAGGTGAGACTCTGTGATGCATTGAGCATTTCTAACAAAGATTTATTTTATATTTCCTAAACTTGTCCCAACTTTAGGAAGGCTTTAAAAGCACTGAAACACATATTATTGAGCTATCATCGGGGATGATAATCATCAAATGATTTCTGAGAATCAAGTGCCCCTGAATAGGTGTCAATATACAATCACACTGTAAGCCTCCCAAGTATACCCACACTGATAAACAAAAAGGATTTTATAATGAGATTTATTATTAAATTCTAGGAATGCAAAGGGACAAGAACAATATAATATAGTTCATAAGGTATATCTCTAATTAATAGTCCAATAATTAGGTAGACAAAGGCAATTTTCTCAGTGTGACACAGAGTTTAAGAACTGTTGGTGCTCTTATCATGTAGCATGTTCTGACTTACTCTCCATAAATTACTAAATGCTTAGGATTCTTGAAAACCATTATATACAGCTCCAAGTAAAATAATCTCACCTCTATTCTTCTCAATTTGAAGTTTCCTGAAAATAGCTGAAATGCAGATGAACAAACTTCCCAACAACCCACGGAAATTTCACTAGTATCTTCAAACTGGAAATTCATCTAGACAATTTCTAAAGTGGCACACTGAAAGTTCCCCAAAGGTGCTTCTCCTCAACTATTTTAAATGCAAATATACTTAAAAAAAATTAAAAGGCAAGGCAGGATTATCAGGGTGATAAGTCATGTTTGGCAAGTGTAGGGTGCTGCAAATGTCCTGCTTAGATTGCTGGAAAGCTGTGCATAGCTAACATTTTGGAAACTGGAAGAAAATAATTCTAATTTTTCTAGGTTACATAAGCCCTCATAGAAGAGCAATGTGTTGTCTTAACCCAAATATCATCACTTGACCACAAACTCAACTTTCACATTGGTGTTCAATAATTGTCCCTAGATTTAAAAACTTGAATAAAGGAATTTAAAAATTTACCTACCTTCCTCAGGCCAAGCTCTATTCTTAAGAGATTGCATATCAAAATTTCTTCAAAGGATAAGAAGAAATGCTGACTATTCTCTCTGCATCTTCTCCCTAGATTTCTACAAGGAAATCAACAACATGGCCTTATTTTACACCCCCCTGACCTGTAGGCAGCCACGAGCTATCCTCTCCACATGGTCCTGGCTGGGATAATTCAAAGACTTGAGATCATTAAGACAAGGGAACACCTGAGGTCTCCATTTTTTCTCTTTTAACATGTAGTGGGAAAATAAATAAAACATTTTCCGTGACTTAGAACATTAAAGTTCTTTTATTACAAAAGTCTATACAATGAAGTGCCAGACACAGCAATGCAATTACACGTGGTCATATATATCTATATATTACTTGTATATAGATATACAGTTTTTACTTGTACCAGAGGAAAACTATTACAAACTGCCTAATTCTACCAACTACTGCTCAACTATGACACACAATACCGTCACATAGCGTAAGTGCTGCCATGCCACTTTTATCTGTTCTACTCGCAGCCAGACATTAACTGTGAATAACCAACATCATGAAGCAGCTGTTAATTCTAAAATGATACCAGGCAGGCCACTGACTTATAAAAATATGGTACTCATATAGATTTAGCATTATAAAGAAGGAATATATTATTTAAAACATTTAAATAGTGCATATGGACATTTTTGCATGTGGTATATAAAATAAAACATTCATATAAAACAATATACAGTGCACATTAGATGTTTGGACAGACTCCTGTGTGGAGACTGAAATCAAATGTACACTGTATGATGGATTCAAATGAAAGCGATACATCTTTTGGCATTTTCAATATCACTTTTCTAGGTATACATTATGAATAACCTAGTTGTATCAAAGGAAACCACACAAAAGGGATGGATTTAGTGCTTTTTTTTATTCCCCAACTAAAGTTCACTACCAATGAATATTCCCTCCCCCCCCCCCCCAAAAAATGGCATTGCACACACAGGTGAAATGTGAATTACTAGAAATACTACTTATTATCAAGCTACTTCATGTGCTTACTAGGAATGTAATAGGGCCAAAAATCTGAGGTACATGCTTCCCTCACCTTACTAAAGGATGTTGCAAAAGTCCATTTTTGTATGGAACAAACTGTTAATATCAGCTAGTAAGAAAATCATGCATGACATCGCATGCAAATCATGGACACAAAGTGAGACACTCATCAATTCAAAAAAGCACCAGGAACAAAAATTAACACTTGAAGTTAAGCCTGACTGGAATATGTTGTTAATGACTGTTATGCATTAGTATAAACAAAGACACCATTCTGTGAAAATGATTAGCAGAATAATACCACTGCCTGAAGAAAAGCCATGCAAAGCCAAAGGAAAAAAGATAAGCTTAGAGTATATGACAGTGGGCACACCACTACACATCTTGCAGTCAGTCAGCCTCTTTAAGCACGTGACTGTTCAAAAAGATGGTCCGTTTAGAGGATGTTTTCTTTATGGATTCTGGTGATTAAAAGAGAAAAAAATGATGCCATCCCCTGAAGGTACAAGTAAACATGCAGTGGTAGAGCCCTTGTTAGGAATAGATTTACTTCAGGCATAATGATTCTTTTGCCAATTTAAGCCATCTGATTGAACATACAAATCTAAGCACCATCAGAGTTCCTACATACTGACATGGCTATATTGTCACATTATCTGGAGATGGGAAGGGAGAAAAAAAATGCAGGATCTGATCCAGAAAAATCACATCACCACCAGCTGATAAACAGTAACTGAGGAAACAAACAGTAACTTAAGTCCCATAGGCAGCATGTGATATGGTTCAGTTCTGTGTGTGATGTATGATGTGTGTTTTCCCTATACTGATAAACAAGGTCACTTCTTGGTCTACCCACTGTTATCTTCATCCAGGAGCTATGTGACCACTGAATTGCGAAATTTTGCTAACATACTACCTGTGAGAAAGTGTCACTCTAGAAATTAAACAGAAAGGTATTCCACAGTAGGACTTGAAAATTCAGTTGATTTTGGTTTTTCAGGAAAACACAGAACACAGTTGCATATGTGCACATTTATAGGCTTTTCTTTCAAATTTTCAGTCATTCTGTAAGAAAAAGGCAACTGAAGAATTCAATGTGAAATTTTTCCTCTCAATTTTCTTCAGTGATGAAAAAAAATAAAGTTGGTATTAACAAAAAGCTTGTATTTCCAAAGTTCTTGAAGTTGAAAGGATAAAATACTAGTCTTTTGCTATTAGGATGTATCTGTAGTACAAAACAATGAAGAAAACTGCATGTTTGCTAAAGGTGGAGAGGACTGTCTGTGGTTAATATGGAACATCGTGCTTCCTAGAGAGGGTCTACTTACCCTCCTGTCATTTCTCTAGTGGCACCACAACCAAGTACAAAATGAGACTCTCTGAGTGCCTGACAAAATGAAATCAAGTACCAGGCCAAGTACACACGATGATAGCTTCAGGGAATACAACTGATTTTATGATGTTTTATATGGATTTTGAAGAATCTTGTTTGCTGATAAGAACTTCAAGAAGCCTAAGCTTGGCTTTAATTTTCTTGTACTCCCTGTATTCCTCAAGCACTGGAACACGATCCTCTTTCTGGGCATTCCTAGAGAAGAAAATAAAATCTGTAATGTCCTAGGGATTATCTGGAAAAATAAAGTCCCACATGCTGTTCTAGTATGAGACACATTACCAAATATAAGTTCAGATAAAAAATTGCTTTGTAATAAAAAAAATTCTATTTTTTATGGATTTTGCTAGTGACAGATTACATGATGCTAACTTATCAATAATCGTTATAGATAACTAGAGGTAACCAAATATTTTAATAAGATATATACTGACTCTGTCAGGTCTTTGAACATATATTAAGTGCTAGAAAATTACAGTGGGTTATTTCAAATATTTATTTAACTATGGCTTCGGTGAACTGAAATGTCAAAGTAAAATATCTTACCTATAACAAAAAAGTTTTCTCACTTTATAGAACCCAATGCAATTCTATTTAATTACTAATGAGTACATCAAACCATCCTAAGTATGATTATAAGTAGTTTTCTTTCAGTAAACCAACAAAATAATAGGTACTTGGAAAATGCATTCCCGTACTTGGGATTTCTTTAACCATATATTCCTGTGTAGAAGACTTTCAAATTAAACACATTTTGAAACTTGTAACATCGTAATTGGCTTAGTAAGATCACCCAGTTACTTGGAACACTCTTCTGAGGCCTGAAATAATGTACCCTTCTGGAATGTATTGTTCTTACTTTGAAGACCCCACAGGATTAACTGTGCATTACCCAGTTAGATAAAGGCTCTTGCCATATTGTATTAAAGGAACCATGCAACTGCTACTCTTATTTATACACCTTGGAAACTGGAAGTCAGGAATGACCCAACATGTACGGGAAACAGCAGTAAACAGCAGTGGTCTCTGAATAGAGTCCAATGTAGTTGAGAATAACACTCCTATTATGGGACTCTTTCTGAAAGCAGAAATATCTCATTTCACAAATACTTCCAAAGAGTATGGATGTGTAATTAAACAACATAAAATAATCACCACTCAACTGAGCCTCCCTTAAAAGAAACCTTGAAATATTTTATAGGCTATTGTTTACTCCTATGCTGATATTTTCTTATCATTGATAGCAGTGCTTCAGAATTAAAACAAAAAATGTTTTAAACAACCTCATGTGTATAATTTATTTCTATTCCTCTATTTTAACAAGACACTTGTGAGTTTCAGGTAAAAGCAGATTCAGTTTTGTGATGTTCAACAAACCTTCCATTTTGTTGATAAAATGCCTCTTCAAATTCCCTTAATGTTTTACGTAATTTCTTTTTTTCAGCTCTGGCTTTCCAAAGTTGTTCCAGTAATTCAGGCCTAAGATTGAATGAGGAGAAAACATTACTAAAAGGGTACTCTTGGCTCATTATGTTCTTAACAGTGGTTCTAACTCTGGCTACAAACCAAAGTCAGGTGGGGGAGCTTTTAGACTATACCAATGTCTAAACTACCACAATTGTGCCTCCTTGGTGGCACAGGGGTTAAAGACAGCGCTATCAAACTATCGCCAGCCGCTGCAGCAGGAGTTCGATCCCCCGCTGGCCAGGGAGCAACCCACATGGTGCAGCAGACCTCTCCTGTCTCGCCCACTGCTCCCCTCAGCAGTGTACTTCAGTAGATCTGCCTGTTCTGCTCCCCAATCTCTCACCCCCTGCAACTCTGGCTTATACCCCAGTTCTTATATGTATAAATAAATAAAAAAAAAAAACCTTTAAACTACCACAATTAAGTTAGAATAGCTGCAGGTGGCGAAGGGGTTAAGATACAACCTATGTAGCTATCCACAGCTACTGCAGCATGAGTTCGATCCCCGGCCAGGGAGCTACCCACATGTAGCAGCAGACCTCTCCTGAATCGCCCGCAGCTCCCCTAGCAGTGTATTTCAGTCAGTCTGCCTGTTCTGTTCCCTACTCTGTCTCTGGTGAATCCTCTCACCCCCCACACCTCTGGCCTGTACCCCAGTTCTTATATGCATAAATAAACAAATCATAAAAAATAAAATAAAAGAGAATATGAGTGACAGCTTCTTAGATAAATCACACTTTTTTTAAAGGGTGTATCTCCTGAGCATGGTATTAATTCCTCCAAGTGCTCAATTATTTAACGTCATATTTCTTGGCATATAAATTTTATTATACAAATAGGCTAAAATCACAATCCAGCATACTTACATAGAAGCTGCTCGAGTACTTGACAATCGCAGATCCAAAGCCAGTTTTTCTTGATTTTCTTCAACATCAAATTCTGAGTTTTCCAATGAAGACTGTGCCTGTACAGCAGTTTTCAGGATATCCGTTAACTCAGAGGAGAGATTAACACCATCTTCTTCTTCTTCCTGGGAAAAAAATCCAAACAAACAGATCATGACTTTCAACTTTTCCATTAGGAAAGAGACGAGAAATAATTCCCTTAAGAATTACCTTGATTTCTTCAAAAAAATGTGCAGTTTCTCCTTCTATAATTGGCTGTAACATCTGACCCCTTCGCTTTGTGGAGGGAGACCCCTGTAACAATCAATACCCAATAGTTTACATTTTAAGTATTGAAAGTGTTCAGTGATATCTCACTTCACATGAAACAGATATTAAATTCTATTTTCAAATCTTAACTATATGCTTTTAAGAAAGCATTATATACACATTAACTGCAAATATTTCTCTTTTTAAAAATAACTTTTCAACTTT